TCAAGGGTTGGATTTGTGCGGTTGCTGAGCTTCACAGATTGGATGGGTTCTAATCAGCTGAGACTGTGCAGAGTGCAAGTTTGTGATGCAGGGGTTATCTGTTTGTTTGTTTGCTTGCTTGCTTGGTTTTTTCCAGATAAAACCAGGGTTTGCAGAGGCTAATAACTCATCCAGGATGAGCCTGGGCCCGGCCAGCGAGGACCAGTTCCAGCCATGCTTGCTTCCAGGTGGCTTCTGTTGCCTGCGCTGCTTGGCCTCCCTCTGGCGATTCAGCGGACATGCTTTCTTTGATGTAGGCAGTGTGTAGAGTTTGAGGATGCCGCTTACTCACCTTTCCCCTTCACGCTGAAGCTGCCGGTTAACCTAGGCTGGATACAGGGTGCCAGCAAAACCTGACCGTTGGGATAGGTCACTCTCCAGTCCCTGGTGACTGTCTTTAGTAGAAAGGAAGGGACAAGGTTTTAAAAGAGAGAAAGAAACCCAGCCTCAGGTTTTTCTTGCCACGCTTTTTTTATGCAGGAGCTGAAGTAGGTGATAATGGCTCCCAGAGCTCACAGGTCTTGAGGGCTGCAGCCCAGCTTTCATGTGATGGCCCAGCTGCTCTTCACAAGTATCACTTGCTATTTATTGAGGCTGAACATGCTCATCTGCCCCAATTTGAAGCTAGGCCTGCTGTTGGAGGTAAAGTTGTAAATGTCACCCCCAAGCAGCTTTAGGGTGGTTTTAGTAAGATCTGCCCCAATTTGAAGCTAGGCCTGCTGTTGGAGGTAAAGTTGTAAATGTCACCCCCAAGCAGCTTTAGGGTGGTTTTAGTAAGATCTGCCCCAATTTGAAGCTAGGCCTGCTGTTGGAGGTAAAGTTGTAAATGTCACCCCCAAGCAGCTTTAGGGTGGTTTTAGTAAGATTTTGGACCTATCAGAGCCTCTTTTAGAAACACAAATCTACCCTTTGCTACCTTAAACTTTTATTTTTATTTTTATTTTTTTTTTAAGATTTATTATTATTGCTGGGCGTGGTGATAAACGCTGTTAATCCCAGCACTCAGGAGGCAGAGACAAGTGGATCTCTGAGTCTCTGAGTTCAAGGCCAACCTTGTCTACATAGTTCTGGACAGCCAGGACCACACAGAGAAACCCTCTGTAACGAAATAAAAGCAACAAAAAAAGATATATTTTTCTTACTATTATTATATTGTTTTGTTTTTGAGACAGGGTCTCACTTTATTTTTATTTTATGTGTATGAGTGTTGGTGGCTGTCTGCGCTGTGGAGATGCTGGGAACGGAACCTGCATCCTCAGCAGGAGCAGCCATCTGCTAAACTGCGGAGCCAGCTCCTCAGTCCCGTCACGTTGGGCTCCTCTCAGGATGGACATGGATGACGGTCAAAGGAGAAGCATGTTCGTATTTTCTCCTCACACCTTCCTCACTGTACTTACTTGTCACTGCCTCTGAACGTTGCCAGCAGGATAGACATCATCATTATTGTGGTTTTTCTTTGCAGTACCAGAGCCCAAAGTCTCAGATATGTTAGGGTAGTTGGTTGGTTGGTTTTGGTTTTTCTTTTTCTTTTTTTTTCCCCCGAGACAGGGTTTCTCTGTGTAGCTTTGCACCTTTCCTGGAAGTCACTTTGTAGTCCAGGCTGGCCTCGAACTCACAGAGATCCACCTGCTTCTGCCTCCCGAGTGCTGGGATCAAAGGCGTACGCCACCACCGCCCGGGGGGGGGGGGGGGTTGGTTTTTCGAGACAGGGTTTCTCTGAGTAAAAGCTCTGGCTGTCCTGGAACTTGCTGTGTAGACCAGGCTGGCCTTGAACTCACAGCGATCTGCCTGGCTCTGCCTCCTAAGTGCTGGGATTAAAGGTGTGTGCCACCACCATCCAGCTGTTAGAGTTTTTTGTTTTCAGTTTGTGTTCTATTTGGTGTTGTGAGACAGGGTCTCACATAACTCAGGCCTATCTTGAGCTGCCTTTGTAGCCAGCGATGACCTTGCATTCCTGATCCTCCTGCCTCAAGTACAATTCCAAATGCTGAGATTATAGTGTGCATCACTGTGCCCATATGTCTTTTTGTTTGTTTGTTTCTACATTGTTGTTATTAGTGTTTGTCTTCCTGCATAGTCTGACTTTGGTGGTCCGGCTGGCCTAGAATTTACAGCAATCCTCCTGCCTTCGTCCTGAGTGTTGGGATAACGCGTCACCACCATACCCAGCTCCATCCCATCTGCTGCACATACTAGTCTCACTACTGAGCCATATTGCCAGCCCCCTCTAAATACTGAGATGAGGTCTTGCCAAGGTGCCTGGGTTGGTGTTGGATTTTTGATTCTTTTATCTCTGTCTTACAGGAGCTAGGATTGTAGCCATACACAAACCATGACTTCACCAAGATGGTTTTCTTTTCTTTTCTTTTTTTTTTTTTGAGACGGAGTTTCTCTGTGTACCTCCTGGCTGCCCAGAACTTGATCTGTATACCAGGCTGGCTTCAAACTCAGAGATCCCACCAGCCTCTGCTCCCAAAGTTCCAGCAAGATGTATTTTGGGCCGGGCGTTGGTGGCGCACGCCTTTAATCCCAGCACTCGGGAGGCAGAGCCAGGTGGATCGCTGTGAGTTCGAGGCCAGCCTGGGCTACCAAGTGAGCTCCAGGAAAGGCGCAAAACTACGCAGAGAAACCCTGTCTCGAAAAACCAAAAAAAAAAAAAAAAAAAAAAAAAAAAGATGTATTTTGTTAGCTTGTGATATTGAGTAAAAATAAACAAGTCTGCCCCTTTTCTGATTTTGCCAGCCTCATTATCACTGGGAATTGGTTTTTCCTTAACCCAATTAAAATTTTGGGTTAGCCTCAGGCTAAAGTTTTAGAAGTTGTAGGGTAGTTCAGGTGTTGGTACAAAGTGACTGTCTGGCTAGACATATAGCGTGCTTTGTCGGTATCTTAGCAATATGTAGTAATAAATGCTTCTTCAGGATGGGGACCCTCCAGTGACTCCTTAAAATACTAAGCACATGCCAGGTTATGGTGCCCTTTGAAACTAGAGTGGCTATCCTTGTTTAACTAAAGGCAGTGGCAGGTTTAAATTTCTCTATGTAGCTCTGGCTGTCCTAGAACTAACTCTGTAGACAGACTGGCCTTGAACTCACAGAGATCTGTCAGCCTCTTGTCTCCTGAGTACTAGAATTAAAGGCATGTACCACCACTGCCTGGCTAACAGCCAGTGTTCTTCTTATTTTTTTATTTTTATGTGCATTGATGTTTTTGCCTGTGTAAGGGTGCCAGGTCCGCTGGAACTGTAGTTATAGCCAGTTGTGAGCCATCATGTGGTTGCTGGGAATTGAACCCAGGTCCTCTGGAAGAGCAGTCAGTGCTCCTAACTGAGCCGTCTCTCCTACATGGGTGTTTTGTCTTTACATATGTCTGTGCACCGCTTGCATGTCTGATGCTGGTAGATGCCAGACGAGGGCATTGAATCTTCTGGAACTGGAAGTAGAGACAGTTGAGAGTCACCATGTACGTGGTGAAAGTCCAACCTGGGTCTTCTGCAAGAGCAACAAGTGTTCTTAACTGCTGAGCCAGCTCTCTCTCCCCCCTGTATACTTTTTTTTAGTTTTTTTGTTTGTTTGTTTTTGTTTTTTTAGTTTCCTGAGACAAGGTTTCTCTGTGTATTCCTGGCTGTCCTGGAACTAGCTCTGTAGACCAGGTTGGCCTCAAACTCATTGCTTTTTAATTTTAACATGAAAAACATAATAGTAATTCCTTGATTTACTCAGTACACCTTATCTAACTTTCTTTTCTTCCTTTTTGTTTTGAGACAGTATCCCATTATGTAGCCTTTGGCTGTCCTGGAAGTCATTACATAGACTAGGATGGCCTTGAACTCACAGAGATCTACCTACCTTTGCCTCCTGAGAACTGGAATTAAAGCACGCAAATCATTGATTGTATCTCATTTTCCTTTTATAAAGTTGGCTTGCTTGTCAGAAATGAAAGCAAGATCTATACCTTATGTTTGACTGTTAAGATTCTTAGTTTTTAAAATGTGTAGCCCAGGCTGGCCTTGAACTCGTGATCCTCCTGCCTCCGCCTCCTTCAGCAAATTCTACTGGTGTGCGCCACCTGCCGGCGTCGGTGGCGCACACCTTTAATCCCAGCACTCAGGAGGCAGAGCCAGGCGGATCTCTGTTAGTTCGAGGCCAGCCTGGGCTACCAAGTGAGCTCCAGGAAAGGCGCAAAGCTACGCAGAGAAACCCTGTCTTGGAAAAAAAAAAAAAAAAGATTCTTAGTTTTTTAGTGACTTCATATTTAAAATCTAAAGAAAAATTATACAAAATTTCGCTATGCAGCCCAGGCTGATCTTGAACTCAGAATTCCCCTGCCTCAGCTTCTTGAGTACCCAAATAACAGGTATGCACCTTCATGTTTGTCCACGTATTTTTGGGCAGACTCTGACCATACCGTATTACCTACATTGTTCTTAACTCCTGAGCTCAGATAATCGATTTCCCAGTTATCTGGGACTACAGCATGTGCCACTACATCGGACTTTCCTAATCTTAGAGGAACTTGCTTACTGTGGCTCTGGTGACGTCCTGCAGGCTGTCCTCCGTTTGTTAATTTCCTGTGACGGTAGTCAGCATTGTGAGTCTTAGGACTTTGCCCTTCCCGAAGGTGTTACCTACAAGCTGCCGCACACATGGGTGATGTTGTCCAAAGTCAGCTGCTCCTGCGCTGCCCCTGCCACATTTGTCAGTGGCCCTTCTACTGGCAGAGTTTCTTCTTTCTCTTTCTCTTTTAAGCATAGTCACAGGGTGACCAAGCTTGAAGCTTTAAAATGTCTTTGGGCCGGGCTGCGGTGGCCCAGAGGCAGAGCCAGGCGGATCTCAGGCAGCAAAACTACACAGAGAAACCCTGCCCCAAAAACAAAAAGCAAAAACAAATGTTTTGGGGCCCAAAGCACTTCATAGATAGTGTTATGACGCACTCCCCATGTGTTCCCATCTCTCCCCCAGAGGCTGGAAAGATGCATGAGTATTGTGACATCGATGACGACTGGTGTCTCTGAGCGAGAAGCCAACGATGCCCTCAACGCGTATGTAAGTACCCTGTCCTCCTTACATCCGTTCTACTTGGGGAAGCGCTGAGAAGCAGACAGGAAGGGGGAAAGATGGTGGTGGTGGCCAGGACTTAAGGGACTGAGTTCACATCTTGGTTCCTTAAATGAGCTTTTACTCTCTCCCTAGTAGAGTCTATTTCTTGGAGCCTTTATTCTGAGACCCCATCTTAGCATATGATATATACTGGCCCTTGAAATTAGTATAGAATCCAGGCTAGCACCATACTCAAGGTCCTTCTGCCTCAGCCTCCCAAGTGCTGTGATCACAAGCTTGTGCCATCTTGCCTGACTTACATAACAACTTAAAAGCTCAGTTGTTGGCCGGCCAGGTGGCTCAGTAGGTCAAGGGCTTTGCACGCAGCCCCCACAGCCTTGAGTTCTCATTCCTGGATTCCATAGGACAGCAAGAGAGAACTGACTCCCAAGAATTGTCCTCTGATTTTCTTTGACAATTTATAAAAAACTTATTTCTTTAGACTTGGTCTTAGCCCTAGCTGACCTGGAACTTGATGTATAGATTGTGCTGGCTGAACTTACAGAGATCAGCTTGTGTCTGTTTCTCAAGTGCTGGAATTAAAGGCATGTGCCACCCCCACCTCCCCCCCCCAAAAAAAAAGCCAGGCAGTGGCAGTGCACTCCTTTAATCCCAGCACTCGGGAGGCAGAGGCAAGAGGATCTCTGTGAGTTAGAGGCCAGAACTCACAGAATGTGTTCCAGGACAGCCAGGACTACAGAGAGACGCTGCCTGTCTCCAAAAACCAAAAAAAAAAGGGGGGGGGGCAGGTGCCATCATACCTGGCAAAAAAATGTTTCCAAGATTGAAAAAAATATATAAACACATGAGACCAACAATATGGCTCAACAGATAGTGATTCCTGCTGTGGAGTGTGACAGCTTGTTTGTTCCCTGGGACCACGTGGTGGAAGGTGAGAAGTCACTCTAGCAAGTTACCCTCTGACCTCCACATGAACGTCATGTATATGCGCACACTCAACACACGTACTGAAGTTTCTTCTGTTGTTTGTTTTTCAAGACAGGGTTTCTCCGTGTAGTTTTGGTCCCTGTCCTGGATCTTGCTCTTTAGACCAGGCTGACCTGGAACTCACAGAGATCCACCTGCCTCTGCCTCCCGAGTGCTGGGATTAAAAACCTGTGCTTCCACTGCCCGGCCCATACTAAAGTTTTTTTTTTTTTTTTTTTTTTTTTTTTTTAAGATTTATTTATTTATTATGTAAGCAGAAGTGGGTGCCAGATCTCATTACAGATGGTTGTGAGCCACCATGTGGTTGCTGGGAATTGAACTCAGGACCTCTGGAAGAGCAGTCGGTGCTCTTAACCTCTAAGCCATTTCTCCAGCCCTCCCATACTAAAGTTTTTAAAGAAAAAAAATGCTTGTTTTATAGTTTCTTTGCAAATCATTCTTACATACATTTTATCTTTTACCTGTTAATCTGTGCAGTTAAAATAATTTTAGATAGCACACGTAAGAAATTTATATGAGGCTGGGCAGTGGTGGCGCACACCTTTAATCCCAGCACTGAGGAGGTAGAGGCAGGTGGATCTCTGTGAGTTTGAGGCCTGCCTGGTCTGCAGAGTGAGTTCCAGGAAGGCACCAAAGCTACACAGAAAAACCCTGTCATGGGGGTGGCGGGGGAGGGGGGGACATTTATATGATAGCAATTGACAAGATGGCTCAGTGGGTAAGGGTTTCTGCCTCCGAGCTTGACTGTCTGAGTTCAGTCCCTGAGACCCACACGGAAGAAGGGGAACCCACTCCTACAAGTTGCCCTGTGAGCTCCATAGTCACATTGTGACATTGTGCGTGCACATACACACCACAGACATGAATGAATGAATGAGAGAATTGAGGTAATGTGCTTAGGTTGACGGCTCACAGTCAGTAAAGTGCCTTCTGAACAAGCGTGGCGATCCCTGCGTGGGTCCTGGGTAATGCATGTGACCCTAGCCTGGGAATGAAGGGTGGTGGGAACAGTTGGCTCCCTGAAGCTCGTTGGCTGACCAGCTTAGCCAAATCTATGAGCTTCAGACTTAGTGAGAAGCCCTATTTCAAAAGGTAAAGGTGGAGATTGAGGAAGACACCCGTCAGCTACCTCGGGCCTCCTTGAACATATGCATACAAGACACACATGTATTATCCACACATACAATACCATATACATCTTAGGTAATACTAAAAAAAAATTAAATAATGAAATATGTGTGAAAATCCTGTAGTGAATCCTGTTATTTAGTATGTTAACTGAAAAAGTAGTCTGACGTAAAGAATAGTTAGAATGAGAAGACTCTCAGAGTGAGTGCTTAGGTACCACTCACAAATGACCAGGTGTCATCATCGCTGTGCTGAAGTCCCCGGGGTTCTGTGGTTGCCTGTGGCCGTGACTGGAGCAGATGTGTCTCCACTGCAGGGTTTCCGCAGCTCCTCTGCTGTTCCCACTTGAAGGAAGCACTCTTGTATTTTCTGGCTCTAGCTTCAGGTGGTCAGAGGAAGCAGTAAAATTTCCCCTTTCCTTATCTCCTGAAATAGGTGCCTCATTCCTTTTAAGAGAAGGATACCATCATATTTGAGAGTTGATTTTCTCCATTCAATGTTACTCAAGAGTCCCAAGAATTCTAGGAGAAACTGTGCTTGCACTTGCTACATGTAAGTGACAACTTCGTTTTTTTCCTCTGACCTTCCAGGTGTGCAAAGGCCCCCCCCAGCATGAAGAGATCTGCCTAGGCCTGTTTACTCTTGTCCTCACTGAACCCGCCCAAGCCCAGAAGGTAAGGCGACTTCTTCCCTGGGTCCTTATAAATCTATGGGACCTTTACCCTTTAACTGAAGTGGCGTCACACTCTTGACAAGAGCTGAATCACCTTGTCCTCCAGATGTGATCTCAAGTCCCTTCTTTTTTTTTTTTTTTTTCTCGAGACAGGGTTTCTCTGTGTAGCTTTGTGCCTTTCCTAGATCTCACTCTGTAGACCAGGCTGGCCTCGAACGAACTCACAGAGATCCGCCTGACTCTGCCTCCTGAGTGCTGGGATTAAAGGCGTGCGCCACCACCGCCACCGCCGCCGTTGCTGCCACCGCCGCCGCCAGGCTTCAAGTCCCTTCTTACTCTGAGTGAATTCATTAGTCTCTGGCTGGAGTCCTTCCTAACTCCAGGTTATCTAAAGCTGAAAGGCACGTAAAAGCAGTTAGGAGAATAAGAATAACATGAATGTTAAGTTTCAGGTGTAAGACACGAAGCTCAAAGGTTGGCATTTAATTTGGGGGATGGAAGAAGATAAAGGACAGCCAAGCCCGTGAGAGCTCTTACCCAGAAGAACAGACAGAAAACAGCCTTAAAATTGTAGCATGTAACCTTTAGATTAAATAACTTAATGTAATGATTAAGAAAACACCAGAGCACAGTGGAGCCTGACTTCCTAATGAGTATTGCCGGAAACCAGCCTGGCCTTTTCATAGACAGAAGAGGCTCCGCCAAGGCTCAGGACCAGCGGGATAGTTTCTCTGGATTCTGTTCTTTTTATAAATTAAGTCTTCTCTTTCTCCAGAGAGCTCCTTTCCAGCAACTTTGTATCTTTTGAGTCTGGGCATAACGGTTCAGGTTGGACTCCGGCTGGACCCCAGTGACAGATGTGAAGAGTGAGGGGACTGGTTCTTGGCCCTTCCTGAGCACAGCTGGCGTGGAGGGAATTAGACGCGCCGTTGGCCTGCTGTAGTACTCTGCTCTATCCGTTGATCTGTTTCGTTTCGTGTGTCCGAACCCTGTGAGGCTTCTGTAGCTTTCTCCCTCTAGACTGCAGCTCCTCCACAAGGTACCTGGGAACCTAGCCATGTTGCCACTTGTTCAGGGATAACCAAAGGAGTCTCATTCTAAGGGATACAGACAGGGTGCTCCTGGTACCCGGCAGAGATGCTTGTATCAGTGAAGCATGTGTGGATGTGGGGACCTGCTGTGTTCATACTTCTCTGATGCCAGCTGGTGCCTGTGAAGATGAAGGACTGGACGGTAGTTCTTCACGTGGTCTTGCTTCCCCAGGAGAAAGACCAGTCATTTTGAACTTCGTTAGGTAGAATTCCATCTGTGCTTTTCCCCTTTCTCTTCTTTCTCCTTTTGAGACATGTTCCAGGCCGACCTAGAGCTCCTCCCCTCGGCCTCTCACACACGGGGTTTTCATCTCAGTGAATGTGTCACCCGGATTTTTAGAGATAAATGGATGACATTGGTGTGGTGGTGCCAAGCAGTAATAGGAGCTCCCCTGCTTTTAAAGACCTTGCTGGCAAAGATGAAGGTGGATAAGTGAGGGCTGTGATTTGATTTCCTCTAGTATGTATTTTTATAGGTATTGTAATTAAAATCGGATTTAAGGGCCAGTGAGATGGCTCAGCTGGCAGATGTACTTGCCACATAAGCCTGATGACCTGAGTTTGAGTTTGATCCTCTGACCTATAGTAGAGGGAGGGGACAGTCTCCCAAAAGGTGTCCAGTTCATTCATTCTCCCCCCTCCTTACACACACACACACACACACACACACACACACACACACACACACACACAACATAAAATTTTTAAAAAATCTGATTGGATGTAGCTCAGTGTTAGTGCTGTGTAGCAGTGTGAGGCCCTGGGTTTGAGCCCCAGTTCCCGCTACCCCAACTAAACTGGGCATGGTGATACATGCCTGTAAGATCAGTAGTTGGGAAGTTAAGATAGAAGGATTGCCCTGAGTTCAAGGCCAGTTAGAGCTACATACCAACTACCAAGCCAGTAAGTTAAATAAATAAGTAGATTTTTAGAAATAAAAAATGGGTGGGCCGGGCAGTGGTTTAGTCCCAGCACTTGGGAAGCAGAGCCAGGCAGATCTCTGTGAGTTCGAGGCCAGCCTGGTCTACAGAGATCTAGTGAGATCCAGGACAGGCACCAAAAACCAAAAACAGAGGAACCCTGTCTCAAAAAAACAACAAAAAAACAAACAAAAAAATGGCTGAGCAGTGGTGGCGCACGCCTTTAATCCTAGTGCTCAGGAGGCAGAGGCAGGCGGATCTCTGTGAGTTCGAGGCCAGCCTGGGCTACAGAGCTAGTTCCAGGACAGCTAGGGCTGCACAGAGAAACCCTGTCTCACATCAAACAAACAAACAAACAAATAAATAAATAATAAAATAAAATAAAAATTGGCTGGAGAGATGGCTCAATGGTTAAGAGCATACACTGCTCTTACCAAAGACCCAGCTTCAGTTCCCAGAATCCATATCACAGCTCACAACTGCCTGCAACTCCAGTTCCAGGGGATCTGACACCCTCATTGGCCTCCAAGGCATGGCACACACATGGTGTACATAAACTTGTACAGGCAAACACACATACAAATAACAAAATAAGCTCCAGGCCAGCCTGCATTACAACATAAGACCTTACCTATAACAAACAAACAAAACAATAAGGTGGAAGTCATCTCAGTGCAGATTAGCCTCGCCTTCTGGGAAAGGTGAGGTCTGAGTCTGCCAGGGTCAATCAGTGAGCTTCTGGGAGGGGAGCAGGCTGTGACCGCTGTCTCCCTTCTCTTGCCCGGCTTGGTGAGAGGCCACAGGTTCTGCAGCGTCGGTGTATGTTGTGCCATGAGTGTGGCCCCCGGAGTCTAGTGAGGACTGGAGTTTTCTCCTTGTTTGCAGGGTGGCAGGCCCGTGCTCCCAAGGGAGCTGAACCATCTTGTTTTGGGTTTCATAACTGACGGCAGCTGCACAGGTTCATGTCCATGTGCTGAAGGTGTCTAAGTAAATCCGCTACCTGCGGGTGCCTAGGTCAGACCTCTTTAGGCAAGCACGATACAGTAGTCTTAGATGAGGGAGGACCTGTCAGTAGTGAGTCATTTGGACACTTGAGCCGGGTCAGACTGGCGGAAGAATTAGTGGCAAGTCTGCCCAGTTCTTGACCCTTCTCTGCTTCGGGCAGAAGTTCCTGGCAGGAGCTGCTGACAAGGACGGGTCTTAATGTGTTGTCTTAGAGTTTAGCTTAAGCAAGAAGACTGTTTTCTAGGGTTTTTTTTTGGGGGGGGGGGGTAATTTTGCCTTTGCACAGAAATCCAGGGTAGATTTAAGGTTTACTTGTTCCTGGGTCTTGTAGGCATAGAGTTATGAAGCATGGATGATAAAGATAGTTGTGGAAACTGAGTCAAGAATCTTGGGTGGGAAGAGTAAGTTGGGAGCTTCTGAGGCCTGGACGGTGGTAAGCAAGCTCAGGAGTTAGGATCAGCTCTTAGGAACTTGTCAGTGGATGGGTAGGTGGGTGAAACAGATGAGCTAGAGATGTTGCAGGTAAGGGACCCGAAAGATGGCTCAGCAGCCAAACTCGTTTGTTTGTAAACCTGGTGACTGAGTTTGGTCCCCAGATCAAAGGGAGAAGAACTCCGGAAAGTTGTCTTCTCATGTGCCTGTAGCATGTGCATGCACAGCACGGTGTATGCACAGCGATAGTAATTTTAAAAAGAGAATGCAGATAAGGCATTGATGGAGAGTACAGTAGGCATGGCTGAACTTCATCCCAGTTACGCCTCCCTCTGGCAACTCTTAGATGGATGCTTTATACCTTTTGAGTTTATTTATCTGGGGTCTGAGCTAAGTATCTGGAGTAAGGGCTGATGTGATGAACGGAGGCTAAGCTGGGATCTCACCTCTGCAGGTTCTTCATCAATGAAAAACGTTAACTGGAAAAACCCTGGCATCCGAAAAACCCTGGCATCCGTGCCCAAGTCCCTCTCCCTCAGATGTTCCTAGACTCATTCCTAGGCTTTGGTCTAGGCTCTCATTGCGGGTGGTCTGGGGAAGGCTGGAGCTGCTGGGTCACTGTCCTCGGCAGGGCCAGGCTGACGCTGCCTCTCTCTCTACCACCCTGTCCTTTTTCTTTTGTCTGAGATCGCTGCTCTTGTGTGTTTTGTTTTGTTTTCGTTTTTCTTCCCATCTGCTTCTCTTCCAAAGCAGTCAGCAAGCTGGCACAGAGGTTCCGACAGCTGGCAGCGTAGGGCACATGGTACTGTGGGTACCCAGCTGCCATGTTATCAGCGGTTACAACCGATAAAGATCCCTGGTGGAAGGTGGAATTAGGCAGACAGTATCACGGCTCTTCGTCTGGCCTCATACCTCCTGAAAAATTGGCCCTCCTTCCCTGTCCTGAGTCTGGGCTATGTTTCTGGTATTCTCCTTTCGTTTGAGCAGACAAGGCTCTGATGTGGTTAGCTCAGCACGGGTTTTTCTTTCTCCCTCTCCCTCCCGTTTCTTTAGGACATTCAGTGACTTACCTGTGAGGAGTCTCCAGAATGTACTCTTCCACTTTGATAACCAGTATGTCAGCAGAACTGGGCCGCCTGTCTTGTGCTCACTCCCTTGTGGTTTTTGTTCTTAATCTCTCAACAGTCTACCCCCTAGATAGAGTCAGGATAAATTCTCCTTTGGGTATGAGAAATTTGTGGCACATGAAGAATCTCTGTTGATATTTTTTTCATCAGAGCAGTTAGACTTGAGGGCAGAAGAGGCGGGGAGAATGATGAGAACAAATCTTGTTAGAGCCCCCATCCCACTAAGGCCAAAGAGCTGTTGGTAGTGAGGACCACACTTGGAACGCTTAGGGTGGGTGAGTTTGCAAATGGAGTACCTTCAGGCTGTCGTAATTCTCCCCTCCATCTCTGGCGGTCTTGTCTCCTTTAGTTAGTTTTCATATTTGTTTTTGAGGTGGTTAAGCATAGTATTTGAAATTAGATTGCCTGGATTTGTCTGTCTGTTTTGTGATGAGATCTCATGCTGTAGCTGGGATTATAGATATGATCACTGCCTGGGTTTAATGCTGGTTTTCCCCAAACTCTTGTCTCCTCTCCCCTGTCCTGTTCTGTCCTGTCTGTCCTGCCCTGTCCTGCCCTCCCCTCCTCTCCCCTCCTCCCCTCCCCCCTCCCCCCTCCCTCTTCCTGTGGCTACTTCCTCACCTGTACAAAGACAATAACTAGCATCTGTTTCAAAGGGGTTTAGATTTACCCAGTGCAGTAACATAGACAAAGTTCACGCTGCCGTCGGTGAGTGTTGGCTATTACTATTGTTGCTCATTTTTTCTTCAATTTTTTTTTTGATTATTTGTCCTCTCCTCCAACTCCTCCCCTCCCCATCCCCCTCCCCACCTAACTTTTTGTGTTCTCTCTCTATTTTGTTTGTTGTTTGTTGGTTTGGTTTGGTTTGGTTTTGAGGCAGGGTTTCTGTGAAACAGTCCTGGGATTAAAGTCATGTGACACCACCATCCAGCACTCTTGCCCCAGCTCTCTCTCTAAAACAAAAACAAAACTACAGAAATGATGGCTGGGCATGGTGTCACATGACTAATCCCAACCCTTGGGAGGCAAAGGCAGGGGGATCTCTGTGAGTTCCAGCACAGCCAGGACTATGGAGAGAGATCCTATCTCAAAAAAACTGCCACAAACATACAAATAAAAACCCATACACACAATGAAAATCAAAACAAACAAACAAACAAAATCACTAAGATAAAAAGCATCCAAACAAAAAGAAACAAAAAGCCCTCATAAAAAAGGCATGGAATCTGCTTTTGGTTTTGGTTTTGGTTTTTTTGTTTTTCGAGACAGGGTTTCTCTGTGTAGCCCTGACTGTCCTAGAACTCGCTCTGTAGCCCAGGCTGGCCTCGAACTCAGAGATCTTCTTTCCTCTGCCTCCCGGGTGCTGGGACTAAAGGCGGGCACCACCATTGCAGGTGTGCAAATATCAGTGGTTAGGGTCCCGCCCTGTGTCGCGATCATGACGTCATTCTTTCTTTTCTCTCTCGCTCTCTGCCTCCTCCCTTCCTTTCTTTCTTGGCTGGGCCTCATGTGGCTCAGACTGCCCTCAGACTTACTGTGTAGTTGAGGATGGTCTTGAACTCCTGATTTTCCTTCCTGCCCAAGTGTTGAGAGGACAGGCAGGAATCTCCACACCCGACTTATTGTTAATCTTTTTTGGTGGTGGTGGGGGCTTTATTTTGTTTTTGTTTTTTTGAGACAGGGTTTCTCTGTGTAGCCCTGGCTGGCCTCGAACTCACTAAGATCCACCTGTCTCTGCCTCCCCAGTACTGGGATTAAAGGTGAGCGCCACCACCTGGTTTATTGTTCATCTGCCGTCTCTGCACCCAGCCTTCTGATGTTTCTGTCTAGCTCAGAAGCTCTCCACTGAAGTTTTGCCCTTTGGCTGGGACCCTGCCAGGATAGAACTCAGCAGGTGGGGGAGGCAGCTAATGAGCTTCCCTAAGGCCTGACCTCATTGATGGAGAGGCAGGGTAGGAAAAGCTCTAAGGGAAAGGGAAGCAGTGACTCAGAAGAAACTTATACACTTCCTCCACCCAGGGCTGAGGATGCTGCAGGGACCCCCCCCCTTTCAAAACTTGGCATTCAAGAGAAAAGTCTAATAAAGTTCATGTTTGGGGGTCGGCAAGCTGCCTGAGTGGGTAAAAGCCCTAGCCATACAAAGCCTGATAATTCCTCTGTCTCAGACAAGTTCAGAGTTCAGTCTCTGGGTTAAAAGTTTTGTTTTGTTTGTTTGCTTTTGTTTATTGCCCCTGAGACAAGGTTTCTCCATGTAGCCCGGACTGGCCTGGAACCTCTACCTCCTGTGTGCCAGAATTAAAGCTGTATACCACCAGGGCTGGAGAGATGGCTCAGTGGTTAAGAGCACTGGCTGCTCTTCCAGAGGACCTGGGTCCAATTCCCATCTGCCACATGGCAGCTCACAGCTGTGTTGTTCCGGTTCTGGGTGACCCTATACCCTCAGACATACATGTGAGCAAAACACCAGTGCATATAAAATAAAAATAAATCAGTCATTAAAAAAAATGTTGTGCGGCACCACGTCCGGCCTTGAGTGGCTGCACTAGCACATATCTGTAATCTCAGGAGGCTGAGACAGAAGGCTTGCCATACATAGTGAGTTCCAGGACAGCCTGAGCTACCATGTAAGGCTCTGTCTGAAACAAACAAGGAAGTGTTTGGTTTTGGTTTTAAGCAAGAGTCTCACTTTGTATCTCAGGCTGGCCTTGAACTTGTGATTCCCCTCCCTGAACCCCCAAATGCTGGGCTTTGGGCATGTGCCACTATATCAAGCTAAGAAAGTTCAACTTTATTTCTGTTTTTTTTTCCCAGACCCTCGTCCCTTAATATTCCCTCTGCTGCATCTGACTGGGTTACAGCAAGTCTACAAACCTCTGGGTTTCTTTTTGACTTTCACCCAAACCCATTTTCAGTGACCTTTCACTGGCAGATGAAACGCAGATGGCTCCCACCTGGGTTTGCTCAGCTTGTGGCATCAAACAGTGTGACACTTCCTGAAAAGGGAGGTTGGGGGACAGGGACAGGACCAGGAGCTGTGCCCAGCAGGCTTTCTTGCCTTATTAGAGAATCTTTTAGTCCTTTTCCCTAACCCAGGAGGCAGAGCGGAGGGCAGTTTTGGAATGGAGAAGCCGTGTAGAGGAAAGAGTCCAGAATGCAATGTGTTCTGTTGCCACTCAGTATCCCACTGTTGTTATTGAAGAGACTGGCTGGCTTGGGGTTGGCCGGGTGACTGTGGGGAAAAGGTCTTAGCTTGCTGGCTGCTCACAAGCCTTACTTCTCACAGTGTTACCGGGACTTGGCTCTGGTGAGTCGTGATGGTATGAACATTGTCCTGAACAAGATCAACCAGATACTCATGGAGAAGTATTTGAAGTTGCAAGATACCTGTCGTACTCAGGTAAGGCCAGAAAAAGAAAGAAGAGGAAGGCTGGAGTGTAACTCAGGGATAGAGCATGTGCTTAGCATGCACATGGAAGGGTTCAGTCTCCAGCCCCAAACAAGAAAAGAGCCGAGCTCAGTGGTATAGGCTGGAGGTGGGTCCTGAAGGGAGAGGGTGTGGGCTGCAGCTGTTACTGTGCACCTAAATTGTAGGTGACTCAGTTAGCCACTTTTTCAGACTCACATCGCTGCTCTGTATGTCTTTTCCTCTCCTGTAGTTGGTGTGGTTGGTTCGGGAACTGGTGAAGAGTGGCGTTCTGGGAGCTGACGGCGTTTGCATGACATTTATGAAGCAGATTGCAGGTAAGCTTGTTGGCAGGAGCGAAGAGGAAAGGGAAGGAAGGAGCCCAGAGATAAGCCTAGACAACGGAGGATGCTTAAGTACCTACGGAACTTGATGGATGGGGTCTTGGACCCTGATGTAGACATCTTCTGGCCACATACGTTGCAGGAAAAAAAATGGATTGAAAAATCACAGGGGGCTTATGAATCAATGAGTCTTGTCTTGATTTCATTTCTTTCCTGCTAAATTAAGACCTGACCAGGTGTTTGGCTCTATTAGCCAGTCACCACCCTGGAGTTAGGAGCTTCTAGATCAGGAAGGAGGCAGTGAGAAAGAAGGAAGCCATGTGCTCTCTGCCTTTCTGTTTTCCCTGGCTTCACCCCTGTTCTAAACACTGGCTCCCTAGTGATTTTGGCAACTGACGAGGGCCAGTCTGAGGGACAGTGTCACAGAATAGTCCCTGACATTTAGGGTTTTTTTTAATCTTGGCATCAATGACTTCTGTCTGAAATATTGACTATGGAAAGGTCTGCCCAAGCCATCTCTTCTGCTTTTGAGATCGCTTGTGTTTTGTTTTCCTGTTAAAAACAAGAAAGCAAACAAAGTATTAATGATAGATAAAAACGAGGCCAACCTGCAGCTCTGCTTCACCAATGCCCATTGGTGCCTGTCTTTTTGTTTTGTTTCTTATGGTGGTGAGAATTGAACCTAAGACCTCATATGTTTAGGCAAGCACTCTACCACTACAATGTACCATGCTCAACTCCACTCACCCTTTCTCCCCCCTCCCCTTTTTTGAAATGAAAAAAGTCTTGCTGTGTAGCCCGGGGCTGGCCTCACATTCCCAGTCCTGCGTCAGCGTCCTCGGCGCCGATGGTACAGGCCTGCACCATCATACCTGGCTGTGCTTTGCCTCTCTTTAGGGCTCTCTCTAACACTGAGATCCCTGCTCAGTGTGGACGGCCCCCAGTGGTTGTGATATGACTATGTGAACACTGAATTTTTTCCCTGAGACCCGGGGCGGTGTGTGACATTGGTGTGCTGTGTATTCTTACTCTTTCTCGGCACCTCCTTTTCGTTGACACCCCAGCCCCACTTCTCATCCCAGCGTGGCTGTCTGGCAACACTGCCTGTTAATTCTGCTCCAGGAAGTTCAGTAGCAAGATCCAAAGACTGGTGTCTAGAAATAACGCGCGCGCACACACACACACACACACACACACACACACACACACACTCACACACACACACAGACACACACACACACACACACACCCGCCCCTTAGCCTGTCAGGATCCTGAATCCCGCCCTGACACCCGGACACTAGACGGCTGCTGTGCCAGCTCCCCGCATCTCTTAGGCCCCAGTGCACATTTTGCTTTTCAACTGGGGCTTCAGTTTGTCTGAGACATTACTTTTCAAGGACAAAGCATTCCCTCTGCATTTCCTGGTGGATAGGAAAATATCGGCTCTGGTAAAGTAGCAGTTCTAGAAAATCAGAGCATTCTTTTCCTTTCTCTCAAGGCAAAGGGGAAACCTTGAAAGCCTGGAAGGAGAGAGAGAGGTTATTCTAGCATTCAGGGCAGTGGTGGTGAGATACCTGGGTGGACCGGCAGGATGAGTGAAGAGGTTTGTTGGTTCGATTAGCTGAGTTGCTAATCAGAGCTACTGTATTCTGATTCTTCCCCCTCCCATCCCCTTGACATCAGGTGGCGATGTTACAGCCAAAAATATCTGGTTGGCAGAAAGTGTTCTGGATATCCTGACGGAGCAGAGGTAGAGTCTACCGTGAAGGGTGGGGCAAGACCAGATACGGCCGTGAGGGGTGTGAGTATGGGACATGGGAAGGAAGGCTCGTGGCTGTAGGGTACTCTGATGCAGTGGGAAGGTGGCAGATGGAAGGACTCATGCCACAGTGTCCCAAGGGATGAGGAGTGGGAAAGAGGGACCTTGCTGAAATATCTCAGAGCCCAGGAAAAACTGGTTTCATCTGATAAGGGTTTATTTTTGACCCAGACCTCCTTGGAATGTTTATATTTTGGGGGAGCTGGGGGAAAATGAGCTCAGTAGAGGGGGCCAGCCAACCACTCGAGCCTGGAGGTACCTCATCTCCCTTCCAAGCTTCTCAGTCCAGCACATGCTCTTTTTTGGAATGGCCCAGGGTGGGTGAAGAAGTAATAGAGAGCAGAGACTCCTCCTAGAAGGTGATACAGGGGCACGTTTGACTTTCTGGCTCCTCTTCCCCATCAAAGTGACGGCCTGGGGAGGGTGGGAGGGCTGTTCTATTATGTAAATTTGCTTATGGCTTCACCTTGGCCTGTGTTCCCAGTTTCTGCCTCACTTAATTCTAGCGTCTCTTTCAGAGTAAGGACATCCAATAGTCAAATGACTAAGAGGCCTAATACTGTCCATATTTGTTTCAGTTTAAAACATGGTTCTCTTCATAATCAAAGCTATGCTCTGTCCAGGCCTGCTGTGCAGCGCCACCTAGTGCCCCGAGCGCAGTTCTGCGGCTGGCCTGGGGCTGGTGTCATCACTAGCAATGGGGCTTCTAGCAGTTTCTTACCTAGGCCTCTGCTTCTCTTTAGATCTCTTGTTTCTCGACTCCCTTTGGCTAGAGGGCCTCACTTCCATCTCCCTCTCCTCCTCGTTATTCCATCCTCGTGGTCAGATTTGTCCTCCCCTCTGCTAGGAAGGAGTCCTCCTCAGAAGTGATCTTCTCGTTCTGTTCCTGGTGTCAGATTCTGTCCGTCATCCCTTAGAGCTGAATTTCCCATGCAGGTCACCTAGCAGCGCCTTGCTGCCCAGCCCCTTCACATTTGTGGTGAAAGGGACTGCCTTGGCATTTCAAATGTGTTCTAGCTTACCATCCTGTTTACCTGACCTTTCCAAGTATTTTTAGGGATGTGGGGGTAAAAGGAAGTATGTGTCCTTGAGTAGCATTTCCATTCTGTGAAAACAGGACAGTGCTGGGCATTGTAGTGCATGCCTGTAATCCTCGCATTTGGGAGACTGAGGCAGGAGGATTACTGTGGATTCAAGTCTAGCCTGGGCTATCTAGCAAGACCCTGTCTCAAAAAACAGAAGCGACTCACATACCCAAAAGAAAAAGAGAAAAGAAGACAACAAAAGAAAAGAAAAGCCATAGTCTTTCAGTTAATTAAGTGGCTTGATTACTTTTCCTGAACCAGGATGTTGCCTGGTTGTAGTAATTAACCTCTTCCTCCAGTTCTCTGCCTCCCAGCAGGGGTGTCAAAGCAATTACAAACTACTTGGCACTTGGAGGCAGCCTTAGGATGCTGGGAACCTCCCCACTGTGGCTTCCCGGTGCCCCTTTGGAACAGATCATGCTTTCCTCACTGTTTTCCAGGGAAAATCTAAAACTCCGGAAAAGTGGGCTTTACCGTCTAAATTCAGGTGTCGCACGCCCACCCCCACCCTGCAACAACCTCCCAGACTTTGGTTTAGGGTTTCGGGCAGGTGACTCATTATCTGAGGGTGGGGTTGGTGGCTAGAGCCAGGGAAAGGTTTGTGGCATGGTTGACTATAATAAGCTCGATCGAGGGCTAGCACAGTGTGTTCTCAGAACTCCGGGTCCTGAAAGGGTCCTGGAATTCCCCAGAGGCCCTTGCGTCACACTTAAGAGAATTACTGACACAGAAAACACGCTCCATAGCTGAGCAGGAGAAACGCAGCTTGCCTCTGTTCGTGCCTCATCTAACACCGCTTCGCATATGATGGGCCGTGGTGGATGAATGAGTCAACAAACAGTTTTTAATTGGCAGCTGTGAAAATGCTTTTGTTAGAAGAGGTTGATTTCATTCAGCACCTACCTTTGTTGGGCATTTTTCTAGTAAAGAAAATTAGTTACCTTTACCTTAGTCAACTCGTAGTTAGTTAATAACACCTGAGAAAACCTTCAAAAGATGGAAGCCATTCTCAGTGTGTGCACATCCGAGGAGTTTGAGGTGCAGGCCAGTGGAGCAAGTGGGTCTAGGCAGGAGGTAGGTGCAGTGTCTTCCCTTCCTGCAGGGAGTGGGTCCTGAAGAGCAGCATCCTCATCGCCATGGCTGTGTACACATACCTCCGACTGATCGTGGACCACCATGGGACTGCCCAGCTCCAGACCCTTCGGCAGAAGGAAGTTGACTTCTGTATCTCCTTGCTTCGGGAACGGGTGAGGGAACAGAACAACATCAGTATGAGGAAGTGATATCTAGATGTGGTATCCCAATGGCCTTTATGCATCTGGGCCAGAGATCCCTTGTTGGAGGTGCAGGTGGTTTAGATGTGGTATTTTCATCATCCCTAGACAGCTCAGAAGTAAAGGACAGGGAGTTGGCATGGAATACCCCTTGCTCCTAAAAACGTCACTCATAATGCTGGCATCCAGGGTTTTTCTGGTCAGTTTCGGTTTACGTCGTTGTACAACACAGCTATTCTTGTATGCCTACTGTTACATCAGCCCCACCTAACCCGGAAGTAATTGACATGTTTACTTGTGTGGATTATGAATTATTTACTACAGTTTCTCCCAAGAGAGATATCCTAAATCTAAGCTACTATGAGGCCACTGGCCGGCCACATAAGAAAATTTAAGTTAAAAGCACTATCAGGTAAAACTTTAAAGTTCGGTAGTTAGATCAGATGCCACTCTTGCAGAGGACCTGGATTTGGTTCCCAACACCCACGTGGTGGCTCACCGATATCTGCAGTTCCAGTTCCAGGGGATCTAGCACTCTGTTAATGGCCTCTGTGGGCACATGTGGGCAAAACACTGATATACATAATATAAAAGTAAATCTTGCTAGATGTGGTGGCCCACACACACCTTCAATCCCAGCACTCAGGAGGCAGAGGCAGGTGGATCTCTGTAAGTTCCAGGCCAGCCTGGTCTACAGAGTGAAATCCAGGACAGCCAGGGCTACACAATCTTAAAAAACAAACAACTTCAAAGCCAGTTGGTGATGGCACTCGCTTTAATCCCAGTACTGTGGGAGGCAGAGGCAGGTGGATCTCTATGAGTTTGAGCAAGTTCCAGGACAGCCAAGGCTACACAGAGAAACAGTATCTCAAAAATCTTAGAAATATATTCACATAATTGTGTAGGCACATGCTTTTAATCAATATTGTTTGGACCACACAGATATATAGATCATTTCTTTCATTACAAATTGTCTTTTCTGTTGGACAGAACGTTGGGGTAGGATATGTGGGGTGTTGCTCCCCAGTCCCATACTTTTGGAATTTGGTTCCCTTGAACTGAATCAAAGCAACTTCAAATGGAGAGGGTGCTTGATTGATGGGAGAGTCAGCAGGGCTCCCCTCTTTCTTGTGGTCCCCAGTTTCAGCCGCACAACCAATCCCTTGACTCCGGAAGGAATCGTGTCATGGTCCCTTCAGCCATCTTTCCCCTCCATAGAACGCGCTATACTTTGTCCTCCATCTAGAAGGTGAACAATGCATGTTTTTATTGTCTTTCCTACTCCCCATTCTCCATCCTCCCTCCCTTTCAGTTCATGGAATGTTTGATGATTGGCCGGGACCTTGTAAGATTACTTCAGAATGTTGCTAGGATACCAGAATTTGAACTGCTCTGGAAGGATATCATCCATAACCCTCAGGCTTTGAGTCCTCAGTTTACAGGTGAGTAAGCCCCTGGGTGTGCCCTGCCCTTGTTTGTTTGGGTTTGGTTTTGTTTTGTTTTTTTGAGATAGGGTTTCTCTGTGTAGCTTTGGAGCCTGTTCTGGCTGGATCTCACTCTGTATCCTAGGCTGGCCTTGAACTCACAGAGATCCGCCTGCCTCTGCCTCCCAAGTGCAGGGATTAAAGGTGTGTGCCACCACCGCCTGGCCTTGTCCTTGTTGTTTTGAGTGGATTTGAAGGGCTGGAGGTTTGTTGGAGAGATTTAATCAGAGAAAGCTTGAGGTAGGACACACTTGGCCGAGTACAGCTGGGCATGGGAATGGCAGGCCACGGAACAGTTCCTGACTGGGCCCTGCTTACCTGCCTCCAGCTGCCATTTAATTAAAAACAAAGAGACAAGGCCTCAAGATGGCTCATAAAGGCCGTTGCTGCTAAGCCTAATGACCCGAATTCAGTCTCCAGAACCCCACATGGGGGAAGGCAAAGAAGTTGACTCCCAAAGTTATTCTCTGACCTCTACACACCCACTATGACACATGTGAGTCCACATATGCACATCAGAAAATTAAAATGGAAGAAAAATTTAAAACACAAATGTGGATAGAAAGCCGTGATCCTCTTCCTTCCCAGAGCTCCTTGAGAGGGTGATGGATGACCAGTCTCTGGCTTCACTGTGGTTGACAGGGTGGAGTCAGCAGAGGGTCTTATTAGTCCTGGAAGAATGGCTCCCAAGATGTGGCACAGTGGTAAAGCACCTACAGTGTGCTGAGTTTGATTCCTAGAGCTATAGAGAAGACAAAGAAATGGTCCTGCCTCTCATCACAGGGGTCTGTTTGCTTTGTGTGTGTGTGTCTTCCCCTGGCAAGGTCTTTCGGGTCTGACTTTCCCAGAATCCTTTTGTATTCTATAGCTTCATTCCTCCTCACACATAACACAGATGTACACACACACACGCACACGCACACGCACACACGCTGAAGGCTGTCAGGAGGGTGCTGCTGCTGTGGGCTACTCTGAGACTTTAAGCATGTGCTGGGTTGCTCGGGGCTCCTCCTCCTCAGAGGGTGTGTGCCAGCTCCTTTAATCATCTGTATAGCCCTTAAGATGAGTGTTTTACTTCTACACAGGCAAGTGAGGTTCAAAGAGATGAAGCCGCCTGCTTGGGCCAGCTAGGCAGTGACAGGCAGGATTTGGAGACAGTCTTTCTGACTGCCCAGTGTACGGCTGTGCCGCTAAGTCACGTTGGTGCTAGGACCTCAGAGTGCCACCCTTAGGAACAGGAAGTCTGGCTAAGACTTCCAGGATTAGCCGGGCGGTGGTGGCGCACACCTTTAATCCCAGCACTCGGGAGGCAGAGGCAGGCGGATCTCTATGAGTTTGAGGCCAGCCTGGGCTACAGAGTGAGTTTCAGGACAGCCAGAGCTGTTAGTTACACAGAGAAACCCTGTCTCAAAACAAACCAAAAACAGACTTGTCACATTTCCCCCTGAATTTCCCATCTACTTGTAACTATGAAAACATGGGTGTCGGGCTTTGGGAGGCCGGCTGAAGGGAAGCGCCGCAGTCAGTGTGACCGGTGGCCAGCTCGTGTGCCTTTGCTCCGCTTCCCGGGCACGTCACGGAATAGGACCGTGAGCAAAACCACACCTGCCCCGGCCCGGCGGTTTCCTCTTCTGCCTCCCATTTCTCTGGCCTCTTACTTCTCTTTTACACTTGGTTCAGGTATCCTGCAGCTACTTCAGTCGAGAACATCCCGAAAGTTTCTAGCCTGTCGTCTAACCCCAGACATGGAGACGAAGCTCCTCTTCATGACGTCCCGGGTGAGATGATCTGTGTCCGGTGTTAGCTGAGCTCCCTGCAGATTTGACACCGCGGATTACCGCCCCCACACAACAGTGGCGAAGTCCCTTACCTTTTTGGGGGTTTCCCTGGTGCAGTCTATGCCTGCACATTGCACAGTACCCTAAAAAAATGTTAGCGGAAGCATTCGAGGTAGAGTGCTGAAGAAGCGAGGCAGAATCCAGCCCTGTTGAAGTTTGTTTTTAGAAGCAGCCTTTCCAGTGTTTGTGCCCAGGTGTCTGTCTGCAGTGTAGGCTGTGGTGTAGGCTGTGGTCTCTGGTTTCCAAACGTGGCTGCACTGTGGTAAGAATGTCCGAGGACCGTGCTTTTCCTGTCTCTGAGGATGTTTGTGGACAAAGGAATTGTAGAGGCGCCTGCCTACAATCCCAGCACTCAGAAGGATGATGCGGGAGGACTGGTACAAGTTCAAAGACAGCCTGGGCTACATGAGACCCGGTCTTCTTTTAAAGAAAAACAGTAACAAAAAATGCTGGACATGGTGGTATTCGCTTGACATTTCCATCCCAGCACTTGAGAAGCAGAAGTGGGCAGATCTTTATGTATTCAAAGCCAGCTAGGGCCACCTAGTGAGACTGTCTCAAAAGAAAGAAAAGAAAAAGCAAATTGTAGTGGGATGGGATGGCACATGGATTGGGACCCTGAGGCACGAGGATCTCCAGTTCCAGGCTAGCTTGGACTACTTCACAACATTGTGTCTCTGAAAAGGCCGCATTTAGAGCATATACATACTGTCTTAGTGAGGGTTTCTTTTATTGTCATAAAATACCATGAACAGAAGCAACTTGGAAAGGGAATGGTTACTTTGTCTTACACTTCCAGTTTACCACTGCCGGAAGTCAGAACAGGAACTCAAGCAGGGCAGGAACCTGGAGGCAGGAGCCCTGGAAGGTGCTGCTTACTTGCTAGTTCTCACGGCTTGTTCAGCCTGCTTTCTATAATGCCCAGGACCACCAGCCCCTGGGTGGCACCACCCACAGAGACCTGGGCCCTGCCAAATCACACACCAATCAAGAAAATGCACCACAGCTTTCCTTGTCCACAGGCCAGCCTGGTGGGGCATTTCTCCAGCTGTGGTTCCGTCTTCCAGAACGACTCTGGCTTATGCCATAAAACTAGCCATCACACATCTATATGTTAACATTTAGTATCTTTGCCACCATTGCTGTATTCCAGGTGCTCAACCACTGTTGCTGCCACAAGTTCTGGTCCACAGTGTTGACCTGGAAGCATCTTGTTAACCTTTTTGATCTATTTTGATGTTTTCTGAGAGGGTACTAGAAGAGAATTCCAGATCTGCCCCATTGAGTGCTGCTGTGTGGTTATTAGGTGCCTGGTTTGAGACAGGGTAGTAGTCCGGTTATCTTTGATCTTTTGGCCGTTCTCTTATATCAGCTTTTGGAGTGCGGGAATTTCAGATATGGGCCTCCACATCTGGCTCTGGTGTTGTGGTTTGTAAACATTTGAGGTGTGTCTGGGGAAGGACTTGCTGCCAGGCCTGGAGAGTTTGCGCCTTGTAACAGTCCTGTTCAGTCATCCTGCGTCAGGAAGCAGTCAGTACTCAGTGGTGGCCTGGCTTAACACTTGCTCTCCAGGAACATTCTTTCACATTCATCTGTAGCTCCAGAAAGGGAGAAAAGCTGAGGCTTCTGGCCAGAGAAGCAGCGATGAGCATTAGCAGCCAGATCGGGCTGCAGCTGCTTTGGGAGGCCAGTGTGTCATGAGGCCAGCTGCAGGGGTGCGCGAACCCCTGATCACCAGGCCAGCTGGAGAGTTAAGATCAGGACGTCCCCAAGAGGAGAGGGCGCTGGAGACACAAAGAGCTTAGTTGTCACAAGGACACGGTCCCGGCTCCCACTCACCACTCTCCTCCCCACTCCTCCTCCCTAGGTGCGATTTGGCCAGCAGAAGCGATACCAGGATTGGTTCCAGCGCCAGTACCTCTCAACCCCTGACAGTCAGTCCCTGCGCTGTGACCTCATTCGCTACATCTGTGGGGTAGTCCACCCTTCCAACGAAGTGCTGAGTTCAGACATCCTGCCCCGATGGGCCATCATTGGCTGGCTCCTGACCACATGCACGGTAAAGGCCGGACCACGGGGCAGAGACGGCTGGGTGGGGAACGGTGCCTCTTCTCGCATGCTCCTGGACTTCTTCCGTCCTGACTCCAGGGCCGTCTGAACCCGAATGGACCTTTCCCTGTGGGCCCCGAATGCCTCAGGCTCTTCACCCCTCCCTTTGTCTCTAGAAAGTGCTAGTCGCCCTCATCTGAGCTTGGGTTTGACTAGGCCCTCGTCTTTCTCCATTACTGTTGGTCGCTTGTCTGTTACAGGATCATACTGTGGAACTCTGGCCAGCCTCGAGCTACAGCTCTCCTGTCTCAGGCCCCTCAGTTCTGGGACCAGGTGTGCGCCAACCTCTGTGCCCAACTCAAAAGTCTGGATTCTCGAGGCATGCCTACCTGGGTCCCTAAGGGACCCCTAGGGCCTGAGTTTTTCCTCGTTGTTTCTAGAAACCACAGTTATTCTCTTGAGCTGTTTCCTATTCAGATTCAAGGTTTTCATACTTGTGTTTTATTTTACTCACTTTTTTTTTTTTTTGTGTGTGTGTGTGTGTGTGTGTGTGTGTGTGTGTGTGTGTGTGTGTGCGCGCGCGCTGGTGGAGGGTGGAGGTTAGAGGGGGGAACTGGAACCGGTGCTTGGGCGTCGCCATGTTGGTGCTGAAAGAAGACCCAAGCCCTTCGCAAGAGCTCTGCAACCACTGAGTTACCTCCAACTTATTTTATGTCTTTGAGACAAGGTCTTGGAGTGCTGCCTAGGTTGGCCTCAGACTTGCAGCAATCCTCCTGTCTCAGCCTTCTAAGTGCTGTAATCACAGACATAAGTCATTACACTACCCTGACTCTTCCTTTAGATCAGTTGTTCTCAACCTGGGGGTCGAACGACCCTTTCACGGGGGTCACCCATTAGATAGCCTGCATGCTAGATATTTACATTATAATTCATAACCGTAGCAAAATCACAGTTGTAAAGCCGCAATGAAATAATTTTGTGGCTGGGGGTCCCCACCACCTGAGGAACTGTATTCAAGGGTCGCAGCGTTAGGAAGGCTGAGAACCGCTGCCTTAGACGCTCACTTCCACAGCTTTGGCATCAGCCTTGGACGCTTCCTTTCCCAAACACAGAACCTTTAAGGGAGCCGCCACCCCCTCCAGTGTACTTTTTCTGTGCTAGGGTGATTCTGTTCTTAAGCATCTGACACCCTTCCCCCGTTTTATGGTGTTCCTGGAATGTGCTGGTTCAGGCAGCAGCCTTTCCTAGGGGTCTTTAGGGAGGTGCCTGGGTTGTTCAGCAAAGGCAGCTGTGGCTGCTGTGGACATCACCTCAATCAAGTTGTGGGTGATCAGTGTTCCCATGCTGTTCTCCTTGTGAGGATTAGGCGTGTGTACTGCGCCATACATGAAAAACCCAGTCCAGTGCCCGTATAATAGCCTGTGTGCTCCTCACCCTGAGGTTAGGCCAGCTCTTGCTGGGAGCTGGATTCTAAAGACGGAACAGCCTCGTGGGCCCTGGAATCTACCCTCGGCTCTGGGAGGATGGGAGCTGATTGGTGGACTAGCCTTTTCCTTCTCTCTTTTCCAGTCCAACGTTGCTGCCTCTAACGCCAAGCTGGCTCTGTTTTATGACTGGCTGTTCTTTAGCCCAGACAAGGATAGCATTATGAACATAGGTATGTGACTGGGACCAGTCAGCACCATGCTCCCCCCCCCCCAGCCCCACTGCGCGTCCTGCTAACAGCAGTCATCGGTCTCGGGAGTGGGGTGGAAGTGGCTGATTGAGGAGCGGTTCCCTGCCCCCCTTCCGGTCTTCCTTGACCAAGAGGAAGGTGGCTTGGATGAGGCCAACAGTTGCTGCTGAGTGGAGCTCTGAGTGGGGAGGGCCTCTCTCCCCATCTCCTTTGCGCCAAGCTGAATACTGGCACAGGGAGGGAGATGAGGACCGAGTGCAGTTAGCGATGGGCCAGACTTGGCGCTTCCCAGGGGCTCACGGGTCCTGAGAAGCTAGCGGGAGACGGAGGCGGTGCTGAAGCCGGGGAACTGTCGTTTCTCTCCTCACACTCTAGAGCCGGCCATCCTGGTCATGCATCACTCCATGAAGCCCCACCCAGCCATCACCGCCACGCTCCTGGACTTCATGTGCCGAGTAAGTGCCGCGGGGGCTCTCTCTGCCTTCCCGTCCTGCGTGAGCAGTGTCCAGTGCCTTGCCACTCTCCCAGCGACTGGGCCTTCCCAGCGTGCCTCGACTGTAGTCCTGTGCCTGCGTTAGCAAACGCTGTCTCCAGTGCGCTTGGCCCTTCTTGTCATAGGTGATGATGCAAGATGGCGACTGAAGATAGAATCCGGGTTTTTTTCGCAACAGCTGGGGGCCAGTCCAAGGATTCTGTCTTCACAGCCTGGAGTAGTCAGGAACATTGTAGCCCTCTCTGTGGCCACACAGTCTCACTGTCATTAAAACTAAAACAGCTTTTCAGTTCTCGTCCAGCAGAACACTGTAGTTATTGCCTCCACTTCTTCCCTTCTAGATCATTCCTAACTTCTACCCACCGTTGGAAGGCCATGTGCGGCAGGGCGTCTTTTCTTCCCTCAACCACATTGTGGAGAAACGAGTCTTGGCGTAAGGAGTTTGTGTGTTGGGGTGGAGGACTCCCCCACTTTTCATTAGGTCCGACCCCCTCTGGATCAGTGTGACTAGTGCTGTGGACAGAAAGACCAATGTCCCCTTGACTCCGGAAATTTCTAACTTGCCATCACGTCACCAGAGGCTTCAAAGGCCCTCCCGTCCGCCCCCTGTTGACCCTGAAGGGTCTGAAGTGGCACGTTGGGCTATCGGCCCGTGTGTCCGCACTGAGGTGGCGGTGAGCAGCTCTGGTGTGACCCTCATCTGTGTTCTCCATCAGACACTTGGCTCCTCTGTTCGACAACCCCAAGCTGGACAAGGAACTGCGGGCCATGCTTCGAGAGAAATTCCCTGAGTTCTGCAGCTCGCCCTCCCCGCCCGTGGAAGGTACGGACTTCCCCAGACAGCCGCCGTCTGCTCTCCATCGAACCCTCACTCATGGCTCTCGCTCCCCCACTTTCCCCAGTGACCTCTCAGTGAATGCACCTGTCCCCCAGTCCTTAGTCCAGGCCCCTCCTCACATCCCGTCGTGTTCATTTTGCTCCTGACTCCAGACTGCCATCTGCCAGACTGGCTCCCACAGTTTTCTGCTTTGCTATAAGGGCTTAAGCCAAGCACTACTTTCCAGCTTGGTTTTAAATCAAAGAACACTAATAAACTCAGCCCCCAGAGCTGAGCTTGGCAGGGCATGCCTGTGATCTTAGTACCTGGGAGGTGGAAGCAGAAGACCAGGGGACCAAGGGTCTCCTGGGATACAGAAAGCCCTGTTTCAGAAAAGAAAAGGCTGTGCCCCGCTCACCAGCTGACATGGAGAAGTCATGTCTTGTGCTGTCCCTTCCTCTAGGTGGGTCACAGAGCACTGACAAGGCAGGTTTGTCCTTCCCGCAGTCACCCGTCCAGGGCATCAACCGCGTTCTCCCACTAGTCTCATTCCCAGAAGCATGGGGTACACTGGGGGACCCAGGGCAATCAGAGTCTCTCTCTCTTTACTCACAAGTCAAAATTGAAGAGCCTGTTTCCATGGAGATGGACAACCATCTGTCAGATAAGGACGAGAGTTGCTATGACAACGCAGAGGCAGCCTTCAGTGACGATGAGGAGGATCTCAATAGCAAAGGTAAGGGTAGCAGCAGAGAGTGTCTGAGCTGTGGTAGCCCAGGCCTGCTTCTCAGGTAGCCTGTCTACAGTCCTGTCCTACCTCATTGCCCATGAGGTTTGAGTTTTGTGTATTGTTGGAAGAGGCTCGGTGGTCCAAAGCTTAGCATTGGACACTAAAGGCATAGGGAAGAGCAAGTGGTCCTGCCCATTTGTGGGTATGAGCCGGGGCATGCGTACAGTCTGGGACTCACCCCACTGAGTAAACGGGCACACAGGCTGTGAGGAGGGAACAGGTAGCTCATGGGGGCTGTCTCTGGTGCTAGAGTCTTAACAAACCATCCTCAGGGAAGAAGAGAGAGTTCCGCTTCCACCCCATCAAGGAGACCGTTGTGGAGGAGCCGGTTGACGTCACCCCCTACCTCGACCAGCTGGACGAGTCCCTGAGGGACAAAGTGCTGCAGCTGCAGAAAGGAAGGTGGGGTACCAGCTCTGCTCCCCACCTTAGAAGGTCCCGTCCGGGTGCTTCCTGCTACCTGGAAAGTGTGGGTGGATGGTGGGGTCTGGAGGGGCAGTCGGAGCTCCATGAGACATGTCTTTGGCTGATGCTGGGGAGCATGGGCTGGGAATAGGGGAGCCCCTAACACCTTGAGACCCCCACTTTCTGGATTCTGGAGGTAAGAGCCACTGTAGACTGGAGCAGGGCAAGTGAGGATTGTCCTGGACTTCTTTGGGCCTCTGCCCACAGAATGGCAGGTGCTACCCAGACATCTCCCCTCTGAGCTGGGGGCTCATGGCTCCCTTGTGGGGTCTGCATGTGCGTGTACACAGCTTGGGATGTGTCCTACCCTGCCATTACTAATTTCCTGTCACTTCTGTGCTGTAGTGACACTGAGGCCCAATGTGAGGTCATGCAGGAAATTGTGGACCAGGTCCTGGAGGTAAGTGGGGAACCGAGTCCTCGGGGAGAAGGCCGTCCAAACCTTCCCAGCTTACAGCTCCTCACACATGCCTCACTGGGAATGGAGGTCCTCCCTTCCCCTCCCCCAGACGAACCCTTCTGAGGCAGGGAACATGAGTGAGCTGAGCTGGGAGGTAGACACAGGTGGACCCAGAGGCTCTGGGGCAGGTGGGGACCAGGAGGCTGCATCTGGGTCCTAACATCTCCTCCTCCCTTGTCTTGTCACCAGGAAGACTTTGACTCGGAGCAGCTGTCTGTCCTTGCTTCCTGCCTACAGGAGCTCTTCAAGGCCCACTTTCGAGGGGAGGTGTTGCCTGAAGAGGTCACTGAAGAGTAAGGCTCATCTCTGACACCCTGGGCCTCGGAAGCCAGAGTGTGCTCTTCCAACCCAGATCCGAGGCACACATCACTGTAGACTTGAGAAAAATCCTCTCCACGTGGTGTTTCCAGGCTCACATGTACTAATGGGCCCCAAGTACTGGGCAGTGGGCCAGCATCCCTGCCCTGTTTGTCCAGGCCTGCGGCCGGGCCAGTGGCCCCAAGCCTTGCTGCTTCTGGAGGGACTGGCCCTGGCCGGACTTGGCTGAAGGGCAGGAGTCTGTTCCTCAGTGAGGATGACATCCTCTGATTGTGCTTCTGTGTTGGGAGCCTGCTCCTTCCCAAACCACTAGGCAGCAGGATTTGCCTTTGGGTAGGAAAGAAGTGGGTTAGATGCCTGGTCTTCCGTATCATCTGCCTACAGAGACTCTCCTTCATGTAGACTCTCTTTAACCTTCCTCTCTCAGGTCCCTGGAGGAGTCTGTAGGGAAGCCTCTCTACCTAATATTTAGGTAAGCCCTCAGCTGAAGAGCTGCCTGCCTGCCTGCCTGCCTGCCGTCTTCCCTGACATCCACAGCATCCCTGTCGTCTAGGGAGGAGGAGGTGTTGGGTGGGGAGACAGCCCTTCGGAGAGTCTGCTCTGGGTGACGGCCTTCGTCCACCCCATCCAGGAACCTGTGCCAGATGCAGGAGGACAACAGCAGCTTCTCGCTGCTTCTGGACCTCCTGTCCGAGCTGTACCAAAAACAACCCAAGATCGGCTACCACCTGCTCTACTATCTGAGGGCCAGGTGGGTGTGGTCTCCGTCTCCTACGTGGTGTTGGGGCGTCCCGGAGAGGCAGCCTCTCTGTTACGCACACCAGTCCCCTCCCCTGTTAGCTATCAACAGCAGCACGGTCCATTTTGTGTGTTAGTTTGGGTGCCGGGCTTAAATGCAGGGTCCATACATCCAGTGGTAGTCAATTTTTCACCACTGTGACCCAGTGAGAGAAACTTTGAGGAAAATGCATGCTGGCTCGTGGTTTCAGACAGCTCGGCAACAGAGGGCAGGGTCTGCTGGCCCTGTTCTTTTAGGCCTGTGCAAGGATGGAACATCGTAGCCATGGGCGTCATGGGCTTGTGGCAGAGGAAGCTGCTCAGCTCAGAACAGCCAAGAAGAGAAGGACAGAGAAGGCCAGGAACAGGTCTTGTGAATACATGCCCAGTGCCTCCAGCGGGGCCACAAGCCAGGAAATGCCCACCGCCTCCCAGTGTTGCCATCAGATCCTGACCCCTCAGTCCTCTGCAGGTCTAGTCTCTTGCAGTCTGAGCACTTCGGAGGTATGTGCGGGAGTTCCAGGCCAGCCTTAGCTGCATGAGATTCCCCTCCACCCTTGCTATTCCAGACAGGGTTTCTCTGTATAACAGTGCTGGCTGGCCTGGAACTCAATCTGTAGAGATCCACCTGCCTCTGCCTTGAACCCTGATCCTCCTGCTTCCACTTCCCAAGTACTGACTGGCCTACGTGGAGTTTTTATTGTTTGTTTGGTTTCATTTTGAGACAGGTTCTCAGAACCTCCAAAGATCCTCCTGCCTCATCTTCCCGAGTGCTGGGATTATAAGCATATGCTACAGGCCTAGCTTCATGTATTTTCTTGTCTGAGGTCCACGTGCTTTTAGTTCTTACATTTAAGCCTCTGCTCCAATTTAGGCTTTGTACATGATGTTAGTTGCTACTTCTCCAGCTTGAGAGGAGCCCTTCTTCCTCTACTCTGAGGAGTCAGGACAGTCCCTGCTGGTGGTTACAGCCGCTGCCGGGGACGCTGGGCATAGTGGTGTACACTTAAATACTAGCATTCTTTGGAAGGCAGAGGCAAGTAGATCTCCCTAAGTTCAGAGACAGCCTGGTCTACATAATGAAGTGAGTTCAAGGTCAGCCAGGGCTTTATAGTGGGACCCTGTCTCAAACAAGTAAAACACCGCAAATAAAAGCCAGTATTGAGGGAAGAAAAGCCTCTCCTGACCCTGAAGTTGCTGGCCTCTTGGGGAAGGCAAGGGGTGCCGTGGGGTCCCTCAGCAGCGCTTGCAGGGTGGAAAGGGCACCTCTGGGGATGTTGGGTGCACTGCCGACTTGGGTCCCGCTGGTTTTGTAGCAAAGCTGCCGCCGGGAAGATGAACCTGTACGAGTCATTTGCCCAGGCTACCCAGCTGGGCGACCTGCACACCTGCCTCATGATGGACATGAAGGCTTGCCAGGAGGATGACGTGCGCCTGCTGTGCCACCTCACACCGTCCATCTACACAGAGGTCCGTGTCTCCGCGGGGTCCCTGTGGGGCGGGGTGGGGGTGGCGGCAGCCATGCAGGGCTCACAGGAGATGACCACCTCGGTAGGCACTCACTTGTCTGAGACACTCTCATTCTGTAGCCTGATGGGCTTAAAATTCACTGTGAAGCCCAGGCTGACTGTAGGCCAAAGGGCGATCCCCCTGCTTCGTTCTCCCAAGGGCTATTGCATACTCTTGAGGTGCCGTCCACGCACCCACTGACTTCAGTGGTCACTGCATCCCGTACGTGGCTGTCTTCTTCCCCCTGTGTTATAAGTTGAAGCTTTTCTCAAAAGTTGTATTCTTTGGTTCAGCTCTAATGTGAGCTGCAGTCTCCGCCTGTTTACATGGCTTCTTGGGTTTAGCTGTATCCTCTGGGCCAGGACAGGTCTCCTGAAGTAGATAGGTCCCTGTTCCTATCTCCAAAGCTTCTTTGATGTCTGCGAGGCCAGCGCTTCTGCAGTAGAGACTCACTTTCATTTCCCTGTTGGTTTGAAATCTTCTCTCAGAGCTGGGATAGAGGGGAGAGATGAGCTCTTCCTCCTCTTGGCAAAAGTTCCCAGGAAGGGGGAAATGAGGCTTAGGGCGTGGGCATGGCAGAAGGAACTGTGATCCCAGCCAGGCCTGGAGGGAGGGGGGCATAGGAGGCATCCCTCCCCGTTCTCTCTCCACCCTTTCTGTGGCCGAGACTGCTCAGATTGGGTTTCTCCATTGCCAGGCATGCAGAGAACAGAACTGGCCATCGTGTCCAAGCCCTGTCAGCTCTGGCTTTATCTCCCAGCCCCCCCCCCCCATTCCTCTCTTCCTACACAGTCCACTCACGATGGACATACACAGATACTGAAACCTGGGGCTTCCAAGGCTCAGATTCCCAGATTTGTAGGTGTTTGCTTCTGTGCAGGACCAGAACCCTAGTTTATGATGGGGGTCCCGCCCACGTTCCCGCCCCAATCACCTGTCTTTTTCTGTCTAGTTTCCAGATGAGACCTTGAGAAGCGGGGAGCTGTTGAACATGATCGTGGCCGTAATTGACTCTGCACAGGTGAACACGAGCTTTGACATCTCCAGCGAGGCCTGGAGGGCAGGACTAGGGAGAGCAGGGTCCGTGTTCTCTCCCTAGGCCTGTACACGAGAGCCCACACCCCTCAGGCACTCTGCCTCCCACTGCATGTCGGTGCCCTTCAGGCCATTAGGGCAAAGCAAAGCCCAAGAGAGAAGCTGGGGTCAAGGCCATCTTCCCTGATATTTCTCCATGTTCTCTGGAAGTTCCTGTTTGCACAGGAAATAAATCTGAGGGTGGGCAGATGTGTGTGCGTGCTCATACATGGGTGTTTTTGCTCTTGCCTGCCCTTCTCTTCGGCTAAGAATAAAAATATTCGGGCCATTTCGACTTGACCTCCATACATAGGGCTCCTAGAGATTATAGCTTCCATGTACTCTGTATAACCCTGCCTGTCCTGAAACCCACCTTGTAGACCAGGCTGGCCTTGAGGTTCACCTACCTCTACCTCCCGAGTGCTGGGATTAAAGGCGAGCACCACCACACCCAGCTGAGATTGTAGTTTTGCACGAGTCCCTGTCTGAATGGGGTGGATCTCATTTCTCCTCTTGTCCACTCAGTTCCCACTCATAGGACTTAGAATTGAGACTCCTTCCTGCGCCTTTCCCTCCCCACACTAGGTCAGAACCCAGCCCCCCAGGGTCTTCTCATTTCAGGCCTGGCTCAGGCCACACACAGGTGGTTCCTTGCCTTTGACCCCAGGGTGTGGGTAGTTTTTCCAAAACAGCCTGTGTTCTGCAAGCCGGTTGCTGTTGTACCCGACTCCTTCACCCTTCCAAATGTGTGCCATCCTTCCCCTCCTGGCCGCTGGCCTCTTTCAGAGCTAATGGGTCTGGCGTTTCCTCCTCCATAGCTCCAGGAGCTGGTGTGCCATGTGATGATGGGGAACCTGGTCATGTTTCGGAAGGACTCAGTCCTCAACATACTCAGTAAGTAACCAGGTCTTCAGGTACCTGGGAGAGGAAAGGGACGTCAGCTGTGTGTTTACCAGTGACAGAAAAGTAGTTCTGGGCATAGAAAATTGAGAGAGAGAGAGCGCGAGCGCACACCATGCCACCTGATCTCTCTGTCTTGCCCTGTAGCCTGGAAAGGCTCCTCACCCTCACCTCTCCAGCCCTTGAGTTGCTGGGAATGTTGCAGCCCTCCAAAAAAACAGTAGCAATCTGGGAAGAAACAGGATCTCGATTTTAGCTCTGTCTGTTTGGGGTGCTACTAGTCAGTGGATCAACCATGTGTATATGTGTGAGAGATGGCAGGCAGACGGACAAAAAGACAGAGGGTTTCTTCTGTCTCTTCCAGTTCAGAGCCTGGACTGGGAGACCTTTGAGCAGTACTGTGCCTGGCAGCTCTTCCTGGCCCACAACATCCCCTTGGAGACCATCATCCCTATCCTGCAGCACCTCAAATACAAGGGTGAGTAGGGCTGGGCTGTGGGCTGGAAGAGGGGGGCCTTCAGCTTCTGAGGTGACCCAGGCCCCACTCCTCACCACCAAGACACTTGAGCTCTGGAGTTGGCCCTGAGGCCTCCTCTGAGCAGGGCACCAGGCTTCCTCTGAGCTCCAGACTGAGTGGGGCACACTGCTTCTTCCGGTTCTTGGAACAAGGCTGTTCTTTGTGTTCCAGTGGTTGTTGGCTAGGGGATAGGAGAGGCACTCACGTACTCACCTGACCTCCTGAACGGATCCCTTCCCCTGAAAAACCTCTCTCCTCCCCCACAGAACACCCAGAGGCCCTGTCCTGTCTCCTGCTTCAGCTCCGAAGAGAGAAGTGAGTTCCGAACGGGTGGCCCCAGGCCTCAGCCTTCCACGGGACACTGAGCTTTGCTCCTCTGGCCCTGCTTTCCTACCATGGCCATCCGCCTGGCCCTGCCCTCCCCGGCTGACTCACAAATAAGCAGCCCCTGGGCTGCCCTGAGAAGAGGGAGGTGGGGACTGGACGGCCCCGTTTTCTGCTGCTCCTCTTCCTCCCCACGCCCCTCAGACCGCCACGGTCATCCAAAGGGAAGGTCAGGGACAAGGGACCATACCTGCCTTCGTCACCTGACAGAGGAGCCACTGGACCCCTTGCCCTGCCTGATGGAGGAGTAGTGGGAGAGAGGGCAGGGGCCTCCTCCGTCCTTGATCCCTCATTGGCAGCAGCCTTGGACAAATCCTTGGAACAGTCATGTTCCTTTTCCAACTCGTTTTCTTTGGTCTGCGTTTGTCTGGGTTTGTTTTTGAGGCAGGGTCTCTGACAGCCCATGCTGGCCTCCACACAGTCTTATGGCCTGAGGACACTAGGGGTCCTTCTGCCCTGCCCCGCAAGTGCTGGAGTCAGCCTGCTTCCCTCATATTCCTCTCTTGCCCGAGACCTGGAACTGGCTGCACTTCCTGGAGGAAGCGGGAAGTCAGGGAGGGTCCTGGGGGGACTGCACCTTCCCACCCTCCCCCTCCTCCCTCAGGCCGGTGTTCAGCTGACCTAAGGGACAGCAGTGCAGGCTGGGTACGGGACTCAGGGGCATCTGTCCGGCACGCCCTGTGTCCCTTAGCTTCCTGGGTCTTCTGCCTGCTCTGGGGGAGTCAGGGCCTCACTCTTGACATCCATAGGCATGCCTCCTACCACCCCAGAAGTGGGAGAATCTCACTTCTCATCTGGCCTCTTCAGAGAATGAAACCAGGAATTCCTCGGCCCAAAGAGAAGGGGGAGAGAGATGTGAGAGGAGGAAGCCGCAGGGCAGGGAGGCCGGGGTTGGAAGATCAACCCCGGCAGGTGTAGCCGTTCCCCGGCCAGCGGCTACGTGTGCATGGCACCCAGCACGCTCTCGTTCGCAGGCCCAGCGAGGAGATGGTAAAGATGGTGCTGAGCAGACCCTGCCACCCTGACGACCAGTTCACCACCAGCATCTTGAGGCACTGGTGCATGAAGCACGATGAGCTGCTGGCAGAGCACATCAAGGCCCTGCTCATCAAGAACAACAGCCTTCCGCGCAAGAGGCAGAGGTGGGGCACCGCCCCGCACAGACCTGGGCACCGCCCCGCACAGACCTGGGCACCGCAGTAGCTATCACCAGGGCAGGCTGCGGTCAGGGACTGCTGCCCGGGCATGGTGGCTTGCCAGTGCTCTACCAGCCTGGTTTGTGGTCCTCTAATACAGGACCGCCCCTGAGTCCCACGAGTGCACACCCCCCGAGCCCTCCCCAGCCCTGTGTCCTTGAGGACTACTGTGACCTAAGTTTAGGAGGCCCCTGGTGGAGTGGAGAGTGTTTGACTCCCTGTCTCCGCCTGCAGCCTCAGGAGCTCTAGCAGCAAGCTGGCCCAGCTGACCCTGGAGCAGATCCTGGAGCACCTGGACAACCTAAGACTCAACCTAGCCAACACCAAGCAGAACTGTACGCTGCCTCCTTTCCTGCTCCCTTCCCCTTCGGCCATTTGCGGGGAGGTGCTGCCCTGGTTCAAATCCCCTCCAGCCAGTCAGGGGGCAGGGATGAGATGTCAAGCCCACTGTTCAGGCCCACAGAAGAAACAACCTTGGGTGCCGTGTAGTAAGCTTCCTGACACACTCACTGCGCTTCCCTTCCCTCTCCCTTCTGTAGTTTTTAGCCAGACGCCGATCCTCCAGGCGCTGCAGCATGTCCAGGCGAGCTGCGACGAGGCCCACAAGATGAAGTGAGCCCCTTCTGCTTTGGGAAATGGTGGGGAGAAGAGGGTCGCTGGGGACATAAGTTCACTGACCAGCAGATCCTGGGTGTGAGAAACAGACTAGGTTAGCCGCCGAGAACACGGAGGGAGGGGCCTGGGCAGGATGCCCATCTCAGGAAGCCTGCTCCTCTTAGGTTCAGCGACCTCTTCTCCCTGGCGGAGGAATACGAGGACTCTTCCACTAAGCCCCCCAAGAGCCGGAGGAAGGCAGCTCTGTCCAGCCCTCGAAGTCGAAAGAACACTGCCCAGCCCCCCAATGCTGAAGAAGAGTCGGGCTCCAGCAGTGCCTCGGTGAGACCCACAGCCAGTGCGCAGGAGCCGGGGAGTGATGGGCACAGGTAGGGTGTGGTCAGCCACTGCCCAGGCTGGTAATCGCCTTCTTCCCCCCCCCCCCATTTCTTCCAGGAGGAAGAAGATACGAAGCCTAAGCCCACCAAACGAAAACGAAAAGGTTCCTCTGCTGTGGGTTCTGACAGTGACTGAGGCCTGGTGTTCCCGCCCCGCCCCAGCCTGAGAGATGCAAGGGTATACCCTTCCTAGCCCCCTCACGTGGGGTAGGATCGAGCTGCTTCCTGTGGCCCAGCTGAGAAACTTCCATGCAGCCCCGCCCCTCCTCTGTCCCAGGGCCTCCAGCTCTTTGCATCCCCTCTGGACTGCTGCTCCCACGGTTCTCACAGCAGCCAGAGGCTGTGCAAACCAGGTCGTGGTGGAGTCCTTAGCCCTTGGCTCCTCCCCCAGTCTCCAAAGAGCCGTGTGGACAGAGAAGGGAGTGATGGAGAGGCCGCTGGACAGAGGGGCCAGGATGACAGCAGATGCTGCGGGAATGGGCGCACCTCCTGCTTCCCTTCAGGCTGCATTCTCTGAACAGACTTGTAGTCTGTGGACGGTGGTCTATACACCAGTGCGACATGGGCATCTGACCTGGGGTGGGCAGTGCCCATCTGGGCGGATGCCACAGCCTTCAGAAAAGAACCTGATGACAGCGTGAGAGCCTCTTGGTGCGCCTGGGATGCTTGGGTTGGCCCAACATTGACACTTCAAGCTGAGCCAGAGCCCAGGGGAGTCCCAGAGGCAAGTTCCTCAGAACTGTCAAATGGCCTGATTTCTGTGGTTCTGTTTTTGCTTTTTCTTTTGGCAAAGATAATCGAGTTTTAAAATTGTTTTTAAGTGATAATGAAACAAGCCAGAGCATCTTTTGTGCCTGAGTTGATATCTGTGTTCATCCTGTGTGTAAAGTGCCTCTGTTTAGTTTGATGCCTTCACTTGTTCCCCGCCCCGCCCCACACACACAATATCCACAGGAGGGGTTGGCTACCCTTCCCGCTAAAAGTGTGAGTCAGGCATCTGACCTTTTCCTCCACTCAGAAGCTGATGTTGGCACCGTGTCCCCGCAGGCTGGCCTTGCCCATTGCCTCTCAGGAACTCCATCTTTCAGAGGGCGCCGGGGGAGACGGCTCAGTAGATCCAGCACTTGCCACACAAGTGTGAGGACCAGAGTCCTGACCCCTGAACCCATGTAAATGATATGTGGGTGTGGTGGCCTGCCTGTGATCCCAGTGCTCAGAAGGCAGGAAGGTGGCTAGCTCGTTACTAATGTTGGTGGGCTCAGGGTTCGGTAGAGAGACCCACCTCATTGAGTGAGATGGAGGATCTTGACCTCCACTCCGGGCCTTCCCACCCATGAATACACATGCGCACAGTTCCAGATGGTTCAAAAGCTGCTATTTGTCCTCTGCTTTATTAAGCATGCTTTGTAAGGGGTTGAGGTTTGAAGGAGAGAGGATGCAGTTCTAATACCAGAGATAGGAGACCCTCCTAGCCTGGCTGCAGCAGAGAAGCAGCCGGGCTTTGCTTTTAGTTCCCTTAACATTCGACGGCTTGCTGAGGAGAGGCGTGAAGACGGTGCATATACTTCCTTGATTCGGCCCAGACATCTGACTCTTCAGAGAATCCATGCTCCTTGAAAGCCACTCCTTTTAAAAATCTACACCACCAGAGGCCTCTCTTCCTCTTCCCATCCCCAGTTTCCACGCACCTATTAAAACCAGGATGGGAAGCATTTGCTGGCTGGTCCCAATTATTGTATCCTTGCCTAAAATGAAGGGCCTCCCTCCAAAAATCTGGCAGTCTGGCCTCCACCTTTCCCCTAGTTAACTCTCAGGACCCCACCCATTCCCTGGGGTTGCTACTGCTGCTGCTACCTGGAGGCCGCACATGGATCTGGCTGTCCTGCCCGGACTTGCAGAACCGAACGGGCCAGGGGCCAAATTCTTCAGTCTCCTTGGAAAGAGAGCAATGGTATCATCCCATCACGGGTGATAAAGAACCACCAAAGGAAAGAATGACAGATGCGCCCTGGCTCCTGGACCAGGACTCCTTCAGCCAGCCAATAGCTTAGCCGGCCCTGAAAAACGCACCTCTGTAGGGATGAGGGTAGGCACCTCTTCAGACTCTGCAGGCTGCTGGCCACCAGCAGTCAAATTCCAAAGCGTGTGCGCCTAGGGCGGGGCCTGGTCTGTGGGGAGGGCCGGGCCGCCCCCCACTCCTGGCTCCCGCGCCACACCGCAGAGGCTGGGTGGGAAGGGCGGGTGCCAGCGCACGCGCGCCACGATCCCAGGGACTAGCGTTCCCGGAGCCCGAGCAAGATCAGTGTTTCAGGAGGGACCACCCGGAGTGTATGCGAGCGGCCAGGGCGGACCAGAGGAAGAGGGCACCATGGCGGCCCTCTTGCTACTGCTGCCCCTACTCTTGCTGCTGCCTCTGCTGCTGCTGCTGAAGCTGGACCTCTGGCCTCAGCCGCGCTGGCTGCTGGCCGACCTGGCCTTCGCAGTGCGCGCCCTCCGCTGCAAAAAGGCCCTTCGAGATCGCGCGCTGGCCGCAGCGGCCGCAGACCCGGAGAGCCCGGAGGGCGGCTGCAGCCTGGCCTGGCGCCTCGCGCACCTGGCCCGGGAGCGTCCGGCACACACCTTCCTCGTTCACGGAGCCCGGCGCTTCAGCTACGCGGACGCAGAGCGCGAGAGCAACCGGGCTGCTCGCGCCTTCTTGCACGCACGCGGCTGGGCCGGGGACCACGGCGGCGGCGGCGGCGGCGGCGGCTCGGGCACTAGCAGCACCGAGGAAGGCGCACGCGCGGCGCCTGCCGCCCGAGACTCCGCGGCGGGAGGAGAGACGACCGCACCCCCTCTGGCACCCGGGGCGACTGTGGCGCTGCTCCTCCCCGCGGGCCCGGAATTCCTGTGGCTTTGGTTCGGACTGGCCAAAGCCGGCCTGCGCACGGCCTTCGTGCCCACCGCCCTACGCCGAGGGCCCCTGCTGCACTGCCTCCGCAGCTGCGAGGCGAGCGCGATGGTGCTGGCTCCAGGTAAGGCTGCCGCGCCAGAAGGGGCGTGTCTGGTCCCGGAACAGAAGTGCCGAAGTGAGTGGCAATAAGAGGCCCTGGGTTTGGGAAGGGATGGTGCCGAACCCGAAGGACTCCCAGGCCGTGGGATGACAGGTCCCAGGCGCGATGTGGGGACACCCATAGTGCCACCCTCACCCTAGAGCCTTTCACAGGGACAGAGAGCAAACCAACGGGTGGTGAAGGCTTCAGGGTAGCTGGAGCGCCATAGAGCTGCATCTGCCCATCCCTGTAGAGTTCCTGGAGTCCTTGGAGCCGGACCTGCCGGCCCTGAGAGCCATGGGGCTCCACCTGTGGGCGACGGGCCCTGCAACTCATCTTGCTGGAATCAGCAATTTGATGTCGGAGGCAGCAGCCCAAGCGGATGAGCCAGTGCCTGGGTACCTCTCGGCCCCCCAGAGCGTAATGGACACCTGCCTGTACATCTTCACCTCTGGCACTACTGGTGAGGACCAACACCGAGGCAGAGGGTGGCAAGGTCTGGGGACCTTCATCTGACCGTGCCTGTCTTGCCACCCTCCAGGCCTGCCCAAGGCTGCTCGCATCAGCCACCTGAAGGTCCTCCAGTGCCAGGGGTTCTACCAGCTGTGTGGCGTCCACCAGAAGGATGTGATCTACCTGGCGCTCCCTCTGTACCACATGTCTGGCTCCCTGCTGGGCATTGTGGGCTGCTTGGGCATTGGTCAGTCTTCCTCATATACTCCGAGGGCACAGTGGTTCCCAACCTCCCTAACGCTGTGACCCTTGAATACAGTTCCTCGTGCTGTGGTGACACACACACACACACACACACACACACACACACACCCGGCCCCAGCCATAAAATGATTCCGTTGCTGCTTCATAACTGTAATTTTGCTACTGTCAGGAATCGTAACGTAAAGATCTGAGGTGTGACTCACCGGCGAAGAGCCGGCTTCAGCAAGTGCGGAAGTACCTTCGACGGCTGCCTCGACCGGGAGGTGTCCCGAGTCCTAGGCAGAGGGAGGCGGTCCGTACGGTGGAAACGCCTGGTGTATAGTAGGAAACATTACCCACTCAGGGCCACAGGCTGAGCAGCTGGGGAGGCTGCACCGTTCACAGACTCTAGACTTCAGGGAGAGAACGGAGAGGGTTGTATCAATCCAGAAAGGAATATTAGCCTTGCCCAACACACGTGAGAAAGGATTCGGCCACCACAGCCTCCTAAAGACCCGACTCCAGCAGGTCCTTCGCAGGGAGCAGAGGTGGTGAGGGTCATCTCTTGATCTTCCCTCCCTTTCCCGGCAGGGGCCACGGTGGTGCTGAAGGCCAGGTTTTCAGCTAGCCAGTTCTGGGAAGATTGCCAGAAGCACGGCGTGACAGTGTTCCAGTACATTGGAGAGCTATGCCGATACCTTGTCAACCAGCCCCCGGTGAGTAGGCTTCAGAGCAGGCCGGACAGCAGGCGACCCTGGGAGAGGAAGGCAGGCGGAGAAGAGATGGTACCAAGTGCCAGGACCCCACCGCTGAACAGGCCCTCCGACGACGCCTAGGGAGGGAGGGCACGGTGGGAGGAGGTCCTGGAGAATGAGCAACAGAACTTCGCCCCGGGGACCTGGAAGCCTGGTATTGCAGCCTGTACCCCTCTCTCGCTCACCCCAGAGCCAGGCAGAGCGTGGCCACAAGGTCCGGCTGGCGGTGGGCAGCGGGCTGCGCCCCGACACCTGGGAGCGTTTCGTGCGGCGCTTTGGGCCTCTGCAGATACTCGAGACCTACGGGATGACCGAGGGCAACGTGGCCACTTTCAACTACACGGGACAGCCCGGGGCGGTGGGGCGCGCTTCCTGGCTTTACAAGGTGAGAGGCAGGAGGAACATGAGCGCCCCCTGGGGCAGGAGGGGGATAGTGAGAAAGGAGGCCCCTGAAGCTGGTGACCCAGTGTGGCTCTCCCCTCCCCCAGCACGTCTTCCCCTTCTCCTTGATTCGGTATGATGTCATGACAGGGGAGCCTATTCGGAATGCCCAGGGGCATTGTGTGGCCACATCTCCAGGTTTGTACGTCGTGGGTTGGGATGAAGCTGGCAGACAAGGTTTGGACTTGGCCACGGAGGTGGGGTGGGTGGGGCCGAGAGGTCCCGGTGACATTGGGTAACCCACTCCTGACCCCCGAATTTTTCCAGGCGAGCCAGGGCTCCTGGTGGCCCCTGTGAGCCAACAGTCTCCTTTTCTGGGCTATGCCGGGGCTCCAGAACTGGCCGAGGGGAAGCTGCTGAAGGATGTCTTCTGTCCTGGGGACGTTTTCTTCAACACTGGGGACCTCTTGGTCTGTGATAAGCAAGACTTTCTTCACTTCCATGATCGCACCGGAGACACCTTCAGGTATTGGTAACTTGCCGATCTGCCCAGACTTTCAAACTCAGCGACTCACACCTCAGAAACCCACCTCGATGCTCTTCCCACCTCACCCCATGTCCAACCCCCCCCCTCAGGCTTCGTCAGCAGCATTATCCCCTAGCCTCTCTATCACCTCAGCAATATTATCAGCCCTTCGTCCATCTCCATTTCGCTCTGCTCTCCCAACAGATGGAAGGGGGAGAATGTGGCCACAACTGAGGTGGCCGAGGTCCTCGAGGCCCTGGACTTCCTTCAGGAGGTGAACATCTATGGAGTCACTGTGCCAGGTGCTTAGGCATGGAAGGTGGGGAGTCGTCTAGCATGGTACCCCACATAGTGGTGCTCAGGCACCAGGACTAGAGGGGCTTATGTATCTCCCACACCCACCAGGGCACGAAGGCCGGGCTGGCATGGCAGCCTTGGCCCTGCGGCCTCCACAGGCTTTGGACCTTGTGCAGCTCCACGCCCATGTGTCTGAGAACTTGCCACCTTATGCCCGACCTCGGTTCCTCAGGCTCCAGGTAACCAGCCGCTCCTGGCCCAACCCCTCACCCACGTATCTGCAGCTGTTAGTGATTCCCTAACTCTACAAAGGGACCCAACGTAAGACACTCCGTGAAGAGAAAGGACACTTCCTCCTGCTGGACATGCTTCGCATTCCCCCCTTTTATCTTGTGTGTGTGGGAACATGTGCATGCTCGGTGTGTCCATGTGAATATGGAGGCAGAGGACAGCCTTGGAAGTCACCCTCAGGAATGCCAGCCGCCTCCTTTGAGGCAGGGTCTCCTCTTGGCCTGTAGGCTTACCAGTTAGGGTAGACTGGCCAGTGAATCCCAGAGATGCTCCCGACTCCACCTTCTCCCAGCATTCCTTACAGGTTCTGATGACTGAATCCAGGTCTTCATGCTTCATGGAGAGCTCTTTGCTGACTGGGCTATCTCCCTTCTTACGCCCTCGTTCTTCAGGCCTGGCTCACGCTTCTCTCTGTTGCTACCTCCTCTCAATTTTACATGATGTCCTCTTCCCTCACGTCTGCCCCTGAACAGAGTTCAGGCAACTCACCTGAACTAAGGGGACAGATTCCTTTTCCTCCAACTCTCTTTGAAAACACCCTTCTCTCCCCAGGAATCCCTGGCCACTACCGAGACCTTCAAACAGCAGAAGGTTAGGATGGCGAATGAGGGCTTTGACCCCAGTGCGCTGTCTGACCCTCTCTATGTTCTGGACCAGGATGCGGGTGCCTACCTGCCCCTCACACCTGCCCGGTACAGTGCCCTCCTATCTGGAGACCTTAGAATCTGAGACCTTCCACTGAAGGGAGGGCCTCTGGGGGTACAGGCCACCATGGCAGTACCAGGGGTTTTCGGGGATCTTTTGTATATGGAGTCATTATTATTTTGTAATAAACAGCTGGAGCTTATCTGGCTCATCTCTGTGTGTCTGGGGGGCTGCATTCCTATGGAGCCACGGGCTCCACATTCCTGTCCTGACCTGTGTGACCCTGAGCTGTGGCTGATCCTTTCTGATAACTGCATCTGACCCTGGCTGGTCCTGGAGAAGCCCTGGCGGCTGATGTTTGTGCTCCTGAGTGTCCGTTTACTCAGGAGCTGTAGGATCCCCAAGGATTGCCTCCTCCGATGGCAGAAGCAGATGGAGGCGCTCAGAAACACTGCCGTCCCGCCCTCCCCATCCCCGTGGCCTGCTCACACTTCACCACAGCCTGATGTGTGGCTGGTCCTGAGGAAGTCTCAACCCTGGAAAACAAATGTGGGCAGGCTGGGGAAGGAGGTACCGTGATCTAGAGAAGCTGGTCAGGGGAAGGGAGCCCTCGGCCTCAAGACTCCTGTGTCTCTGTTCCCGGTCACCGCAGTTACACTTCACGAAGGGGAAATTTGACTTCCACAGTCCCTCAGCAGGGGGTTCTGAGAAGCTGCAGGCGTAACAGGGATGCTGGGAAACAGAGAGAGGGCTCTCCTTGTCTCCTGAAGGAGGAATCTAGAAAGTTCACCATCTGGAAAGGTGGTCTCCCAGGAACCACGGTGCCTCTGTTTGGAGCTGGGGCCTTGTTTTTGTTTTCTCTTTCCTCCTCACCCCCTCCCCAACATGAGTGGTGAGAAGCATCCATGGTAGGCTGGAGAGGGCTCAGTGGCTAAGAGCGCTGGCTGCTGCTGCTGTAAGTTCTCAGCACATTCCTCAGGCAGCTCACAACTGCGTGTGACGCCGGTTCCCGAGGAACCAACACCCTCTTCGGGCCTTTGTGGGCACCAGGCTTGCATGTGTGTTGTACACATACATACATGAAGGCATATGCACATAAAAGTTTAAACAAGAAGAGTTATCTAGTTATTTTGTTTTTGTTTTTGAGACAGGGTCTCTCTGTGTAGCTTTGCGCCTTTCCTGGAACTCACTCTGTCGCCCAGGCTGGCCTCGAACTCAGAGATCCACCTGGCTCTGCCTCCCAAGCGTTAGTTATTTGTATAAAGGAAAGAACCACACCTCACCTCCAAAGCTTGGACCCCTACTGCCCGCCCTCTTGATATTCAAGCCTGCATCCCACCCCATGTTCACCAGCAAGTTCAGTTCGGACTCCCTGAAAACAGAGCCCGCTCTAACTGGGATGGAGTCCGCACCCACACACTGACTCGTTAGGAACTGGGCTCACTGCTAAAAAGTGCAGCAGTGAGGGAAGCCTGGGTGGGGTGGGTAGGCAGAGGTGCCAGCTGGCTAACAGCAGTTCCTCTATGGCAGCCTCTACCACCTCTGCCCAGGTCTGCCCGGCCCAAGAGCTGAGTGGACACCTCTTCCCTTTGGAATCGTGGACCCAAATTTGCACTGTCTGCTCGGGTAGCTGCTAGCCACATGAGAGAGAGGCTGAAGTATGGTTAGTCAAAAGTGGGATCTGCTGTCAATATGTAATATGCATACAATACATACCACACGAAAAATCTAGGACACAAATGCATTGATAGTTGTTTTATAGTCCAGGAAAGTAATGTGCACTGGTGTTCCCAACCCTTGGGAGAATCAATCCCAGGAGTTTGAGGCCAGCTTGGGAAACAGCAGAAACGCATCTCAAAAACAATACGGGGTGGGGGGCTTGGCTCAGTGAGTAGTGTCTGCCTAGCTCGCAGGAAACCCAGGGTTGATGCTCAGCACCACATAAAACCATAAAGCCTGCTGTGGTGGCAGAGGCAGGATCTGAAGTTCAGGTCCAGCTCAGGCTACATAAGACCCTTTTTCAAAAAATAAATGGAATGTTTTTACGTTATGCATTGCTTACATGAGGAGATACAATCTTGACTAAATGGAGTTAAAACCTTAACAAAGCATTGCTGCTTTAGAATCACACGGCTCACTTGCTCTCTCTCCATCTTCCAGATCATTCAGTGTATTCACTGTGTCTCCTGTTTTTCACATTATGGATCACGAATTTCTACTGAACAACGCTGGCCTAAATGCTGACCTCGGACTTCACTCTGTAGTAAAACATTAGCTGTGAGTGCAGGATGCCTGTGCTTAACCAGACTGGGAGGAAGGCTGACCCAGGGCGGACTCTGGCCCCGAGTCGTGGGACCAGCTATTGCTCAGCTCTATCTCAGAGGCTGCAACTAGTGATACCAGGGGAAAGCTTGCAAGCAGGCCTTATTGTTTTCTAGTAGGGGAGGCCTTCATACAGACTCTTATGTGTAGCCCAGTTGGCCTTAAACTCACTGTGTAGTCCAGGCTGGCCTTGAACCTCCCTGCCTCAGGCTGACTTAATTCAAAAGAATTAGGTTTTCCTACAAAAAAAAAAAAAAAAAGTTGAAACAAAAGTAGGATTATGAGAAGATAACTGCAAAATTTGCTGACTGGTGCCCTTTTATCAGGGGATGGTCAGCCTCCCTGGGAAGCCACAGTGGAAAGAATCAGTGTACGCCGTCTTTTCTTTTTCTTTCTTTCTTTTTTTTTTATTTACTAGAGCAGAAGCAAAGCCACAGTGTACATATGGAGGTCAGAGGACAACTTACTGGAGTCCATTTTCTCCTCCTACCATATTAGTCTTGGGGATCAAACTTGGGTCATCCAGCCAGGCAACCGGTGCCTTTTTCAGCCAAGCCTCCTCTCTGGTCTCCCAGTTCTGTGGCTGTGAAGTCTTTTCCAGAACACTTAAGGCCAGGAGGAAGGGCACCCCATCCATCCCAAGGCAGGAATCTGAAAAGTGTGATCTCTTTTTTTGTTCCTGGAATGCACACATTTTTTGTTTGTTTGTTTGTTTCCCAGAGCTGAGGACTGAACCCAGGGCCTTGTGCTTGCTAGGCAAGCGCTCTACCACTGAGCTAAATCCCCAACCCCACGAAAAGTTTTTATATTTTTAGGTGATTGAGAAAAATTAAAAAAAAAAATATAAGATTCTAGGCGTTCAATTTTCAATGTCTCTAAGCAAAGACACAGCCACCTCCACGTTTTTGTAATTGCCTGAAAATGCTTCTGTGCCGCACAGGACTAAGACCTCAGGGTTGCAAAGCTGCACCATTTGTACGTGGCCTTGACATTTTCCTAGTTCCTGGGCCGCATCTCTCCAGAAGATTTTGGTCACCCGGGAGACGACAGCCGGAAGACTCCACCTAGTCTGACCTGCCCAGCGCAAGCCCGGGCTCACTGCGCAAGCGCACACAGTGGCAGGAAGCCTGGAGAAGTCATCTTGCTCCTTGCTGGATGGGGCAAGCTACTCCTCTGACTCCTGTGAAGCCTCCCCTCCCCTCGTCCGCCCAGAAGCTGAGCAGGGAATGGAGGGGCAGGACCCAACCCTCTGGCATCTCTTCCCTAGGTCTTTAGGGGCTAAAGATGCAGGCTGAGCGTTTCTCTGGGAGCGAGGTGGCCCCGCCGGCCTCAGGAGTATACGCGAGTTTCACAGGCATCAGCTAGCATGCCCAGCTTAGACATTCTATATAAGTGAGATCATAGACTTTGTGATCTTTTGTATTTTTTTCACTTAGCATATTTTATTTTATTTCATTTACTTATTATTGTTGTTGTTGTTGTTGAGACAGAGTTTCTCTGTGTAATCCTGGCTGTCCTGGAACTCACTCTGTATCCCAGGCTGGCCTTGAACTCAGAGATTCCCCTGCCTCTGCCTCCCAAGTGCTGGGATTAAAGACATGTGCCACCACTGCCTGGCTTCACTTAGCATATTTTAGATTGATGTATCCATGTTTCATTCCACTTTATAGATAAATATTGCTGTACCCAGAGTCTCCCAAAGACCACCAAGATGCAAAAGCAGAGTCTTTGTATTGTTAGGAGTTGACTCGGGACTCTGCCTGACGCAGCAGCAGAGCAGGAGAGACCCTGAGTAGCAATGGGGCAGGGTTTTTAAAGTGAGGGGTTTGGGGTCTACAGACTACATAGGAACAAACCCAGGATTGGTTTATGTGAGTGGCAATCATGTCAGTAACTTTTAATTGGCTAGGGTTAGTTGGGGGCTACAGTTTTCCATTTGGGGGCAGGCCTAGACAAGTCCAGGCTTTGTCCTTGAGCTGCCGTGGAGGCTGGCTGGCCTAGCATGTACTGACTGTGTGGGCTGACTCAGTGGCCCAGGCTTTCACACTGACTCCTGAACATAGCTCTAAGTTGGCGAGGGGTCCCAGACAGTAAACATCTGGCTGAACTTTGAGCAGTCAGAGTACGTGCAGAAAGGGAGCTATTGCAAGGACTATGTCTTTTGTTCATGGCCCTCCCAGAAACTGCTTGCTCAAGTCTCAGGAAACTGAAATTGAGGCCTGA